TTTCTTTATTTTATTATCAGTCAGAAGGTGCCTTTACACTTCCAATTGATTCTTCCGGCTAATTTTAGATGAATAACATTCTTATTCAAGTTTCTCAATAATTTTATTGTCTTTGTAGATTTTACACACCAAGATTTTTATAAATTATATTTAGAAGACAAATAAAATTATATTGAAAATATCTTTATAATTATGCGAAAAATACGCACAAATGCTTAGACTGTTGCTAAAAACGAAATTGTTGCTAATTAAAAATTGTTGATTATAAATAAATATATATATGCATTATTGTGATTGACATAAAACTAATTGAATTAATTAACATTCTTAATGGTGCATAGCGTAATGTAATATGTGTCCAGTATGGGCCCATACATATCTGACGGAACATCCGTATCCGTCTTCTTTTTTATTATTGGCGTTGCCCTCGTAGATTTCGCCAGAATCTAGAGTTTTGCTCAGTTTATTGAATGTGCAAAGTTAAATGTCATCGTATATGTTGTCAATTCTGACGTTCCGCAACGCTTCTTACGTCTTATATGAACTGACCTTTAAACCTGAACGTATTGTATGGCAGTAAGCGGAATAAACTTACGTGAATTGTATGTATAATACAAGTTTTGATCAGTAAACAAAATATAAAAATTGTAACTAGGGTTTAGTATCTATGATAGAACATATGAGTCCTGAAAATTCGCAATGCGCTGGAACCTTGTTTAAATAAAACGTCATTTGAAAATAGAAAGTATAGATAGCACAAAATGCATGAGATGATATATTAATAATTTATGAATAATCCCTAAAATTTTGTTGTAATTACTTCAATGATTTATTGCATGAATTTACAGAAAAGATTAATTTACATGTTAGTATTGAGGTAAATAGAAATGAAAGCGCTTTTCAAAAACTCTATTACAAACGGAAAAGACATTTTTTTTTTAAAACAAAGGCGAAAGTAATTATGGTGTGAGAGACATTAGATATATTTATTTTTAGTGAAATATAACAAGTAACAATAAACTCAACAATTTCAATCAAAAACAACAAAAATTGTGTGTGATTTCAACACAACCCAACTCAATCAGTGTACCTAGTGTTTATTTGTTAACGGTACTAATACTTTAACGCAATTATGTCACCAAAATGGCGGCCAGGTGCGTTTTTAATTTGCAGGGATTATATCTACCAATTTTTGTATATTGTAACGTGATACGATTATTAACATTTTAATAAGTTATGAACACACTGTAGTTATCGGTCGTTAACTAGGATAGAGTAGGGTGATTATTTAATACAGAAATATATTTCACATCTTCTGATGAAGATTAAAAAATTCGGCCAAAAGTCGGACTCACGCACGAAGTATTATAAAAATATCTATAAAAAACGCAATAAAATCACGTTTGTTCTATGGGAGCCCATTTTGTTATTTTTTTTTTGTTTTGTTTTTGTTTATTATTATAGCAGCAACAGAAATACATCATCTGTGAAAATTTCATCTGTCTAGCAATAACGGTTAATGAGATAGAGCCTTGCTTTTGTCCCCTATGGATAGAATTTAATAAATTAAGAGAATGAGGGACCAAGAGGACGTGCCTTCGAAAATAAAATCTGGAGAAGCTCGAGATAATTTTTGGTCATCCATCCTATGACCAGCCCTAGTAGAAGTTTCTTAACTTCCGCATCATCGAGCGCGCTAACCATTGTGCCGAAGGAGCTCGGCGGTTCCTAGAGAAGTTCCAAATGCATTGGGGATATTTGACATTTTATGTTTATCTAACATGGTGCGTTCTGTACAAAATAATTATATAATATCAACCACATAAATCATGAATTTTATATTATTATGGGACCACGTCATATTTAAAGTTAAATTATTTTGCTTTGATTTGTGATTGATTTTTTACTATCTCATATTAAACAGATCTGTCATTCTCTATAAATATGTAGTTTTAAGTTATGAAGTTTTAAACAACATGACAATATTGTGATTTAAGTTGGTACAGCCAGCGGCACATGAAACTATAAACCCTTTCTATGTATCCAATAAATATTGTGGAATAAGTTCATAATCGATTTCTTGAATTAATACTAACTTACCTGATGTATTGCTGCGTACATACAGGGTCATTTGTAAAAAAAAGTTGCGTTAAATGAGGCAGTATTTGAAAAAATCCCAAAATCAAACTAGATGTCGCTACGGTACTTTCTTGATTCTCCATGACAACCCTTCCGGTTTTCGTCTTATATAAAAGATAATCAGTTTTCAAAACTCAATGACAACTCATATTCTATTTGTACTCTTTCGTATTTGTATTGATATCTAAGTTTCGAACTTTGCAAATTTCAATTTTTTATATATTAATTAAAAGGAACGGAAATTCGTTCTTTGGTCCATTCGTTTCCGGCAAAAATGAACTTTTGCCAAAGTCGGAATCTAGTGAGGTGCTTTCTTTTTTTTTCTTCAAATACTTCCTCATTAAAGCACACAAAGTGATCAAAAGATCTTTGCACCCTTTTTTGATATTTTACACTAACAACTCGATACGACACAATAAGACTCGAGTCAAATTGTGAGTTAAATAGATAAATATAAAGATATTTTGTTCATTTTGCGTGAATATAAATTTTACTATCTGCACTTGACATCTTTTTGATCATCTTGGGCAGTTTGATTATTAATAATATCATTTATTTTTACGTTATAGTATAATCTATTAAAATAGAAATATATGTCAAAAAAAATTTATACGTCGTACCTGTAGATATCAAGATATTATTTTTTTTTATTAATCCCACGAGGCAAGGTTTTCTCTCGCTGCTGTGACGTCACTTTACTAGTCATTCACATTACCACAGTCCACTTCATTTTAAGTCTTAATACATTGAAAGTAAAGATCAACATTCATTGAAGAAAGAATCATGTCCAATTTTGATCTAAAAATTTACTAATGCGGTTATGGTATATTTCAAAAACTAGCTTATTTTTTATTTATTCTATATCAGGAAATTTTAAAATAAAGTCAAAAGGAAAAATCTTAAAATAAAGTCACGATGAAATTTGCAAGGCTGATAATTTTTTTTATAATAGGACCCTAAAATGACGGTTTGCTATGTTTCGTTTCATCTACAACGGAAAAAATATTCTTTCATCATAAGGTTTAAAAGTGTACATTAACAATTACATTTTGATTTATTTCTGTATTTACGAATCAAACAATTTTAAGCTATGATTTTAATGCATTAATTTTTAAAGTAGCTTCATAATTAATGAAAAAAATACTACGATATTATTATATTGTAAGCAAAAACTAATTTAATTATCACTGATGGTGATTTAAATTATCACTGATGGTGATAATTTAAATGACGTGACGTGACCTTTAAAAAAATCTTGTGACAGGGTAATCAATGTAAAGAAAGTGGACATGATTCTTTGACATATTGTGGTAACGTGACGCGCACTCGTGTATACATCTTGTAACCTGTCATGCTTTTTTACCCCATCATATGTAACGAAACGCGCAGATAAGCCATTAATTAAAGAAGAAGAAGAAGAAGACTTAATTTACATATAGACGACCCCCATATGATAGACTCCGCGTGAATGATATCTGATAGATTTTAAGTTTTATACGTTCCGCGTTGTTTTATTAGTTTCACTGTTTAATCATCATCACAATGTTTCGTGTTATTGTAAAATAATTTATATACATATTTCCAGCATAATATTTCAAGCAAAAGAAGAATGGGTATTTTGGTTTCAAATACTATTGTATTTATGAGCATGTAGTAATTTACTTTATGAATAAATGTTATGTTTGTTTTCATGAAACAATAAATGGTGTCAATAAATTAACATGTCTTTTTATTTTTACATGCCATACAGTCAACGGCATGGCAGTGTGGCACATCTGTATACATAATCTAAATATATTAACTCAAAGGTGACTGACTGACATAGTGATCAATCAACGCACAGCCCAAACCACTGGACGGATCGGGCTGAAATTTGGTATACAGGGTAGATGTTATGACGTAGGCATCGGCTAAGAAAGGATTTTGATCAATTCTATCCCCAAGGGGATAAAATAGGGGATGAAAGTTTGTATGAAACTTTGTCAATTTTAAACCGATAGGGCTGAGACTGCATGCATAAAGCTACTATGGCGTAGGCATCCCCTAAGAAAGGATTTTGATAAATTCTACCCCTGAGTGGATAAAATAAGGGATGAAACTTTATTTCAGTTATTTTACACAGAAAGCTGCTCAAAATAACTTAACCACGCGGACGAAGTCGCGGGCAAAAGCTAGTAAATAATAATCTTTGTCGTCCACTATGTGGCGACGGAATCTGTGACATTTGCATTAAGTTAAACTACTCTGGTTAAATAATATTTTACAATGCAACTGTAGTAGACTTGCAACGAATATTCGGTTAGTATTCGGCCGAATACTTAATTACCTAATAATTCTAATTTGTTGTAATGAGAAAATTCGTAAAATAAAAGCGCCGCATACCGGCCGAATACTTATACTTAATATTCGGCTATTAGGCCAGAAGCTTGCCGAATATTCGGTATTCGGCATATGGCAGAATATGTTATTCGTTGCAAGTCTGATTTGTAGTCCATTTAACATTTCAACCAGTCTTAGAGTAAACCTATACCTATAAACACGATTATTTATTTTACCGACCCTCCTTATACATATAGCGTCAGAAAGATAAACACATATTGTCATTTACCAAACATTTCATTTATCCAGTGCTGAATTAAATCAGAGCGGGGCCCGTAGCAAATCGCCTCCTCCCCCCATCCAGAAACGTAGCTTATCCTATTTCTTGCATTATTTAACGCTGACTTGAAAAAATAAATTAATTGTCTCAGAACCATAGCGAAGTGCCCAATTGCGCGGGGCCCGTTGCATTTGATACTTTTGCTACGTGGCTAATCCGCCCCTGCATTTATCTAGTAGATTTGAACCTTAATGCCTAGACAATGTTGTATGAGTAAGTACTTACTATCAAATTTTTTTTTTAATAGAGTAGAGGCTGTATAGACAAAACCCATTTGCTAAAGGCTGTAGACAACAAATAAAAGTTTAAAAAACATTCAATTTATCTCGACTTAAAATATGACATGGCTGTATGGATAAAAGTCCTTTGCCTACCCTGAAATGGGTGAAAAAATTAAAAAAAAAAAAAAAAATCAATTTATCTCACCGTCACGTCACGTCAATTTGTTCGCTCATACGGTTTATTTCTTCACTTCACGGGGAAAGCAAGTCTTCTCTGTAATATTTTTTTAAAGTTAAACTTCTAATTCAAGCACAAGTTATCGAAACATAAACTTTGTAATCCGACAACTATCGTAATATCAGTGATAAAATGATTGAATTGTACCTATGCTTAGAATGAAATTGTCAAACGCTCTCAATGGCCGTGTTTTCCGTATGTCAATATTGAGATTTTCATCGTTCTAAAAGAATAAATATCGTGATGTTACTAGCTGATTATCTGACGATGGACGCTTTTCAGTGGCGGAAATGGTTTCTCATATTTATAATAATGTTATCCAGAAGGCTAGACACAGTCGAAGGTAAGATTTTCATATGCACCCATGCTTAATTTGTCTAATATCTAGGTAGGTATATGCAAAGAACAATGATTCTCTGGACACTAAAACTTTAAATTATTAACTTTTTCGATAATCGATTTAAATAAAACGAAAGTTAACTGTCATTAATTCATTATTTACATGAACAATTCTATAGTAATTCATGGGGAGCTTGACAATGTTTTATATCATATTTTTCATCTTTAAATATGTGTGAACAATATATTCAAAGATGAAAATTTATTTGTTAAGATACAGTTGAGGAGACAACTACTTGAAAATAGATGCAATTGTTTACTTTACTAGTTGGAAAATAGATTTTCTTAAAATAATATGATACTATGTTGTCACATATAATTCTACATACTATGCACATTATCTACATATTATGCACTCTTGATAAAGTTAAGTTACAGTAATCCTCTTTTTAAATAACCTTTTTTATCAAGTTTGATAGCATAACCTGTCTAAATTTTGTTAATAAAAGCCACAACTTTCTACCTTAATTTTGTTACATGAATGCAGAGGCAGTGATAATATTTTTTAAGGTAGATAAATAAAATTATTAAGAAGTATACTTTTGAATTGGGTAATACCTCTATGATATATTTTGGCTTAGATAACAATATAATAAGTAAAATTCTTATAATATAAAAACTGATTTTTATTTGAGATGACATATTTTAGAAATTGCAATGAATCTATAAACAAATTTAAATGAACAAGTTATAATAGTAGATCAGTTTTTAAAATTACAAGATTCATTACAAGTAAAAGTTGCCTGATATCTGAATTTTTTGAATAATACAATTGGATTATTAAGAACATTTCTGTAAATTATTCGGGTATGTGAACGAATGGTATAGTTATTTGGAAGCTATGACTTTCACAAGTGTTTGTAACAGCCTAGACTGAGTAAACGACATTGAATTTGAGTTATGTCTAAAAATAGATATATATTACATGCACCCCAACAACTCGCAGAAATGTTACAGAGATTTGATTGAATTCAGTTCAATTCTATTGCAATCATGTTATAATACAAGATATTCCACACAAATACAGCACCATAATATGAACCCTGTCCTGACAGGTATGCCCTGGCACAGTAATAACCAAACAATTCACATTAACACATCACTATATAGTGTAAAACAAAGTTACTTTTTTTGTCCGTATGTCTGCTTTAATCTTTAAAACTACGCAACGGATTTTTGTGCTGAGTTTTTTCATAGATAGGGTTATTCAAAAGGAAGGTTTTTATGTATGATACAAGACCATGCGGCTAAAGCCACTGGCAAAAAGCTAGTTTATCATAATTTAATTAACATTACAATAAAAAATAAATTTTTATTTAAAAATAATCATTACAAATGTCAAAGGTAATATCACAAAAAAATATTAATAATGAAATAGACAATAATAAAAAAGAATTTGTGTCATATAACATATTTTCAACATACCTTTGTTCATCACATGAATTCCACTTTTAATCTTATAGAATTCAACTTCTAATCAATTTCATAATAACTTATGATCTTAATCTGACAATTGTTTTTTAAAGCTCTGCTTTTGCATTAATAATAAATTATTAAGCAGTGTGAATTTGTAATTACCATAGAAAATTTCAATATTCAACAAGTTTTACATAAGAGCACACCTGTCAAATACAAATAATGTCTTATGGAATTTATCCACCATTCAATGTTTTTATACTCTTGTTGTTTTATTTACAAGAAAAGACTAATTAGTGATTAATAATTTAGTTACCATCTTAGATAAGATACTTTAAGGCATTTATCATTATACAGCTATTGCTATTGTTAATTGCACATTTTTTGTGTACATTTAAGTATATTTTTTATCAAAATTACTTATATATAGTTTTAAACTAATCCCATCAGCAAATATGCTATTATCAACCTTCAAATGTTAGTAAATTTTCTCAACTTATTATAAAATTATAGTGTATGTTACATCTAATAAGTGCATTTAAACTATACAATTTACAAAAGCGCAGCACCTTCTTGCTGCATTTGTGAATAGTATGTCACTTTGTACTTTAATCAACTGAAGCTAAAATATGAAAAAAATATTTTCTGACAGCCCTAAAGTGTTACTGCAACAGTGAGGCATGTCCAAATAACACTTGCGTGACAGATGGCTACTGTTATGCCACCACCAGCATCGAGAATGGGGTCCAGAAGTTCACCTACCAGTGAGTATATACAAATTTAAAGAGAAATATTGCCTTTTTCAAAATTATTTACAAAATTAAGTTTAAAAAAAATATGATTCAAGATAATATTCTAATCAGAGGTACATATTTGGAACTCATTAATAATTGGCAAACTCATATCAGCACAAATTATTTAACCATTAGTTTTAACAAATTTTTGATGGAATGCTTGTGGTTCTTAGCTGTTTGAATTCAACAAAATCCTTCCCGCCTGATAGTCCTACCGCTAGAGTGTTACTATGCAAACAGCCAGCATATTGCTGCTCATACGATCAGTGCAATATAGAGGAAGTTTACCGAGAGACCATGGCCCGGGCGTCTCGGCCGGCGGGCACCGGTAAGACGCACATTATGCCAGTGTGGTATCTACATTCACTATGCGATGAGTTTGTTTGATGTATTAGAAACCATAATTGCATCGTCGTTACCAACAAGTTTTGTGTTGAGATGCCAAGATTCTAACATATCGCTTCTGATTTAGTGATTTGAATATGTACCTACTAAGCGAGAAGTCGGATTCATAATTAGTATGTTTTGAATGATGTGCAGTTAACAAATCATTTTCGAGTGTGCGTTGGTTTTGCTTTAACCCACTAAACGTAATGCGTGGTTCCACTTGCGGCGCAGCTGTATCGAGCGCGCATTATTGATACCCATCGAGCATCCCTTCAGTTGTTCTACGCCGAAGACGAGAAATAAATCTGTTGCGATAGAATGTTGTAACACCCATGACATGTGCAACCGGGAGTTGCGCCTGGAGCTGCAGCCTAGGCCGCCAGGTAGGCTCGACGTAGTGTGCGCTAACGGCTTCTCGCATGTCTCTACAGTACTTTACTTTGCCCTAATACTACACGGTGGTGTCCGACCGATCTGGTTTCGATTTCGACCCATTTAGCGCATATTTGGAAGCTCCTGTTATTTTTTATCGTTCGTGGCAGCGATGAATCCCGGCAAATTGCAAACTCTATCTAATTTCAATTCTCAAATTAAACTTACAATAAGGTATGGTTGGATATAGAAACTATTTATAAGCTATCTAGAATATTCCGATTATTATTTCTTCTTGGACCAAACTCGACTGAAACTCGGTATCTGTCGGACACTGCGACCTGTTTGCCTTCCCTAGACCGGCACTGATCACCTATGGAGAGTACACTAATGTGACCATATTTGGACTTAGATGTTGGGACCGGAAACAGTTCTTCCCCCCGGGGGACAGGCCCATATGGTGTCGCGAGGCGGAGCACCCGGATATTAAATGCTGCTCCACGGACTACTGTAACCGTGACATCTTCCCAGGTACGGATCTGCGGATGTGCCGTCAACCGTCATGCCGCCTGGGTAGCTTGTTGTGATGTCCTCCTCGGATGTTTGTCCAGCCACCATGTCATCCATGGTGTTCTAACCAACAATTACTCGAGTCATTTGTCGACGCCACTTTGTTATCGGTGATGCATGCACTGAGAATGTGACCTCTCATGTGGTCCCGTATTCGGATTTAATCTCACTGAAATAAATTAAGTTTGCTATGATATGGCTGTTTCACTTTTACCAATGTCAAAGAGGTTATATTTAAGCGAAATTGGGGGATAATATTACTACATGTATTTTGGAGGGTATGTCTATACTCCTTGGGAGAATTCGTTCGGACATGTAATAGCACAATGGGTTTATTCATCGCTACCAGCATTTGTCCAATCATAAGCTTGAATGTGGGGGATATATTCTAGACGAAAGTTATAAATTCTAGGATTGCCGTATGCCTGTCGGGCAGTCTTGCAGATATGAAGTCGTAAGTGATCACGAGCCGGTTTAATATTATTTTCTTTTCACTTTGCATGGTTTTCATTATTAATTTTCCACTGCAACCTAATTTGATATTAGAGCTAGAGCCAGTGACTAACATTGCTTGACATTTTTAAACCGTTGCCTCGGGACTGGAATAAATCAATCTTTTAATGGTTTTGTTTTTCAAATAATTCATACTGTAGACCGTCCTCTGACTATAATGTATATAAAATTAATAAGCATACATTCGCTGTTTTTTTTTTGAGCTTCTTTTAAAGTTTAAAATTATCGTTACCACCATATAGCGAATATAACGTTATTCACTTGGATAGACACTTAATAATCGATTTAACTAATTATCAAATAAATATTGATACTTAACATAATTTACGAGGCTATGTATTTCTTTCATTATTTCGAGATGTGTGTTCTTGCTTGCATATTAAATAACAGAAAAGGTCGCACAACGAGTAAAGGAATACGCATATTATAAATACCGATACTTTTAAAATTACCGTTAATATTTCAATATATTTACAAGTAAACTTTCAAAGTAAAAAATTACTATTAACCTTCGGGTACAACATTGTGACTTAAAAATTCGCCAATTTTAAAACTGAATAAGTTATCCTCATCTCAATTATGTGCTAAAGTTAATTTGCTTAAAAACAAAATGTGCATATTCTCATTGAAATTGTTATTAATTATATAAAAAAATACCTAAACCTGTTTCGTTTTTTTCTAAGCTTACATACGTTCTTATTAATTTGGCGTTATAGTAGAGGATGCTAAAGGTGGTGAAACAAAAAACAATCTATAACAGCATTTTTATTGCAATGGGTTAAAATGTATTTTTGGCTTATGGTGTTGAATGTGTTTCTTATATAGTTGATTTATTGATAATTGTGTTTTTTGTGTGCACGTTAATGCTTATTACATTTCAATAGCAAACTAGTATGGAGATTGTTTTGTTGCTCGTACACTTTTACCTTTATTACACATTATTATCAAATCAGATTCTCTATGAATAAACATGAATTTTTTATTAGGGCACGTGTACCTTCTTCACCGTGTTTAGAGGTATACCAAAGTAGGTAATAATATCTTGTACAATATTGATTCCCTTAGCTTGAATATACCTATATAATGGTCGTCTATAACAACGTCTAGTATGTCGCATTATTAGTGTTTGCTGAAGTAAATTATACCATCTATATATGTGAAATAGGACACATTATCCTATTAAGATATTATCTTCTTATGATGTTGTTTATTATGAATAGATAGTACTATTCAAGTAGAAATCTAGCTTCATAATAACACTACTATATATAATATGAAAAATAGAAAAGAAAAATATGTATTTTGTGTCTAAAAAACACAGACGGTCTATTTTTATTTATAGATCCATTGACTGTTTGACTTTTGTATAATTATTTTATTAGTAAGAATATATTTATTACATATTTTAATACATTCAGCTGTATGTGTATGTGGTATGCTGTGTCTTGTGAATGCCTGAACACGATGTACTCAAAATTTTGGTAGTAACCGTTGGTAGTTTGGTAGTAAACCCGCGATGCATGACCAATGATTCGGGAATAGTGCCCTACATTACTTCAGTAAATATGAAATATAATTATTTAGATGGCAACAACGGTATGCAATAATTCGACAACAAACGAAATGAAATGAAAATACCTATTCTTATTTATCCAATAAATAAAGATATCTAATAATTATAACAACAAATGCAATTAGAATATTATTTAACCGTTAAACTTGCAGAAAGCACTTTTTGAATTGAAATGATTCTTTTGATATAATTTATTAGATATTATGTAGTAAAATTAAGACCGATCAGAAACCGCTCGAAATCATGCGTTCATTTAAGAAGTTACTTTTATAAAATAACTAGTTGTTTTCCCGCTACTTCGCCTGCGTATGATGCAGTTTCCCTTGAATGAAAGAATTTTCAGAGTCGGTCTAGTTGTTTTGATGCAAATAAACTATAAAATCTTCACCTTTGCATTATTTGTATAAAAAGTGAAAACAAGGTTAACACGCTTTTAAATGTAACATGATAGCAATCAACAGGCAGGGACATTGTTGCAGACTATTCAGTACCTGGATAGTGAGTATGAGTAACGTGACATTCGTGCTCACTGCCCAGCTCGTGTCGTATACCTACTAACACTTGGTCATCGCTGGTGCTGTAATGCCGGTTTCCATATTTAAATCATGCACATTTATATTTTAAAACTCCATCGGCAATCGGAGCTCACTTTAGGAGTACAACTTCGAGATATTCTGGAGCTCACTTGTTGTTGTAAATTCCTTTATGTAACTGCGTTATTAATATAAAAAAAATGTTGCTTTTCACAATAATCTTCGGTGATAATAATCGAAAAGAGATTTGAGAGGTAATATTATTATACTGACTGAAACTACAATAGCTACAAAAAGCAATTCCTTCTAGGAGCGCCGTTATAAATCTAGAATCGTCAAGTATGTCATGACTGTATAATTGTATTGTGTGCTGGTATATGTGTCGCGTGACGTATACAGACATACAGATGTACCGGCGACGAAGCTATTAGATTCGTCGGCAACTCTAGTAGTAAGTCATCCGGTGTAAGATTGACATTAAAGGGGCAAATAACAACGCAATGACGAGGGCGTTTAAAGCGAAATTGTCGAAAATTTACTTATTTCAATCAAGTTTTCTATTAGCCATATGTCGTTAAGATTTAAAAGCAAATAAAAATCATACTCTAGTTTTCTTGTATATCAAAAACATTAATAATTGGCTGGTTTTAATGGCTATAAATAAGAGTAAATGTTTTGTTAAAAAGATTCTAAAAGTATATCTTTGTATAAAAAATATTGGTTGTATAGGAATGTTTTTACAATATTATTCAATATTGTGACTTATCACCAATTATTAACATAATCTCTTTATAACTGGTGAGAATCTGGCCTTAATATACTTGACACCTACGCAAGGGCGGACTACGAAAAAATTACTATTTTTCTTAAGTATTTTTCTTACGGAATGTTATTAAATAACGTATTTTTATTCGTCATGTCATGAATAAGTTCATAAACTTATTAGTAGTTTAATATTTGACTATTTTTTTTTTATATCCTTTCATCAGCAGAGTATGTTATCACCAGAGGTCGGAATTAGGTAGAGTTATTTATGTACTTGCATCGAAATGTTGATATTAATGTGGACCTTCCCTACAAATGTGGCAACATCGCGCGTATTGGTATTTTGCAACTTTGGACATCCGATGTCATTGATGTAAGTTTGGCACTGCTTATAAAGCATGTAGATAAAAACCTAGCTAAGTCCCTATAAGACAAGGAGGTTAATAATATTTTAATAAGAGGATACAAGTTATTTTTTTATCAGTTCCTATAAAACCTATATATTTTCGATTATTTTTGTATTCATTGAAATCGAGCTGATGCTCTCTCTAACACTCGTTCACATTTTTTTTATTCCATTACCTCTAAACATTTTCATTTCCGCTGCATCCTTTCTATTCGACAGATCTTATCACGGTTTTGTATATGCCTTTCAACTTGATAAGCATAAAAATATATTTATATAAATACACTTATAATCGTGTATACCTAAACGGCTTGTTCACTTGTTTGTTTCATTCAACAATGTTGTGAATTTTATTTGATAAATTGTTGACATGCCCGTGTTTTTGTGCCACTGTTTTGCTCACATGTGCCAACGTAGAATTGCAAGCGTCATATGTTTTATAATGTCGTTAGAACTAAGATAATCTAACCTAACCTAAACCTAAGATAGTTTATTAACGAGACAGATTATAAACTGGCGATGTTTACAATTTCACGGCAACATTATACGTAGCACTTTATTCGTGATGCATGTGATTATAGCAAAGTATGTTTGTTCATTCGATTAAGCATATCTATATTATAGTTGAATTGCTGTTTTTATTTAGGAGGGTATGTTTTGTTTTCTTAAATTATTGTTATGTGTGAAATGATATACGTCAAAAGAAAGAGAGCACCTTAATTGGTGATTGGTATAATGCACGATTTGATACCTACTTAATTATTATGGTGACGGTTTGGTTAATCGGTTGGTAAAGTTTTCTGATCTTTTGATAGGTTTTTTATGTGGAAACTAGTAGAATACAAAATTTATAAAAAGAAGTAGGTATACAAAACTTTTTCGTCAGTTGAATATTTTTACATATATACGATTAATATTAAGTAGGAAAAGGTTATTGTTTTGTTATTCTTCGAGAAAGATAAGTCAATGTCAACTATTTAGGTACAGCCTTGTAAGTGCGTCCTATTTGTTTTTGAACGCGACCAAATCTACATACTGTACAGATTTTTATGCGGTTCGTAAGCTGTATATTGTGTATATCAGCTGAGACATGGCGTGATCACCATCAAATATATGTCGAAACTGTCGGTAATAAAGCTTGCTACATGTTGAAAAGTATACATTTAAATAAAGGGATACATGTAAATAAAGGGCGTAGGGTATCCGTTACTAATCGCGGTTTAAAAATTTAAGTGTAATATTAAATAAGCATGTTCGATGAAAATTCAATTCTTAACGTGATATGAATTCCTGCTCTTCAATATTCCATAGTTACAACTAAGTATTATACACGTAACGAAATTACAGTTCTATAAATAGACTCTTATATGTAGGTAATAAATATTTAACAATAAAAATGTTATATGTAAATATTAGATATGTATATTATAAAGCAGAATATTATTAGACATTCAGCAGAAATCATTAAAAGTTTCTCGAGTATTATTAGAACGGCAGATAAATGAAGGCGTACGCCAAAGTTAGTTTAGTCTAGTTATTAGTATTATTTAAAAATATTGTTGTTGTTTTTCACTATACCGATTAATATCGCAGCGGTAATGTCAGTGACGTCACCAGTGAATCGCTATCGCAAAGGCCACTGATAAACGCCCTGCGTTCATTCAACACGTCACAGGAAAATAATCGATAGCTTACATTGAATAATATTTAAAGTACAGCGGTAAGAGTGCCGTTTTATTCGAAACTCAACTGGCCATTGACCACGGCTACGCCCGTGTCCTCAGAGGTTGTTAAAGAAGAGTGCTTTAACGGTGAAGATTCACCAGCCTCACCAGCACAACATATAGATGATAGGTTGCCGTATAAAAGAAGCAACAACACTCACTTTCCTATTTAATTTATTAGATAAGTGCCTTCGTATTGATTTGAGAGACGCAGATATCTCTGACGCCTATTTTAAGACGATTTCCTGTAATTGTGTGTGGGCATTTGACGACATGTGTAACAAAGAACTATACCGCCAGCGCGTCTGTCTGCAACACGTTACAGGCTCGATATTTACTTAATTGGAAATATCATTGTCCTTGTTCATCGATGAATTTAATAATGAGCGTTGTGTTTAGTAATTCATTAAGGTATTGTTGAAATTGACTGATGTCTGAAATAGTCATGGATTTAGAATACACTTCATGTAAATTACTTTATTTTCAAAAAAAAATGATACATACATATGAAAGAGAGAAAAATGTGTAGTGAGTCTGGTCTAAAATAATAACGTACGTGTAATTATTTCCAAGACTCGGTAGATATTTACACAAATACCAAAACACTTATGTTGATTTTAATTCAAGTAATTATGATTAATAATGCCGTTAAAATGAAATCATAATAACTTGTTTATTTTACCATCACCATAATAATTTGTAACTGTTTAAATAATAATTTTCAAATGGTCGTGAACCAAATGTCATTTTAGCGTGTATTATTTCTCTTGTATCTAACTAATGGTACCGTGAAAAGAGTCGGGTCCTTCAGCGACGGCGTGGCAAGTGCTGCTGTGGGTGATAGGGCTGGTGGCGTTGGCGGTGTGCGTGATCATCAGCTACTGGGGGGCGAAACGCCGCTCCAAGATGATGATGAAGAGGGGCTCGAGGCCGCTGTTCCCCGCCGAAGACTCCTTGTGCGAAACCAGGCACCCTATCATGGGAACGGCCACCATAAGAGACATGATCGAACTGACCACCTCTGGCTCGGGATCTGGTGAGTAGTATGTATTTTCTTATCTGGCATAAGAAATCGTCAAGTGCGAATCGAATTAGTATCGAGCACAGAGATTTTGGTTCCCCTTACTTAGGTAAGTGGTGGAAAGCAGTCAGTTTTATTTATACTTTAATGTACGGTTATAATGAAAGGATTTTTTAAACGTATTCAATTGTTTTGTTAAAAAGCTTACCCATTAGAATTTATTCATCTTCATTTATTATTTACTAGCTTTCGCCAGCGGTTTCGTGCGCGTGGACCCTAGGGAAATTTTTTGTGGGATAAAAAGTATCCTATTATCTAAGTCAGCTAACACCCTATCTGTATACCAAATTTCATCAAAATCCGTTCAGTACTTTCAGCGTGATTGACCGACAAACATCCAAACAAAGAAACTTTCACATTTATAATATGAATACGATTTAAATTTTTATAACTAAAAAGGAATAGTCGTAACAATTAAGTAGCGCATTAACTCGTAACAAATGCACCAAATTACTTAATTGGTTAAGATAATTAAAAAATAGGTACATTTAGTCTGAGAGGGGGGAATAGCTAGTAGCTAATAATAATCATTATTAGATACCGGTGCTGTATAGGCAACATAAAAAAAATTGATTAATGCTTACAATATCCATGAAAACTAGAAGAATATGCAACATAAAATGAGAAGTTTTAGGGACAAATAAAAACGAAAATATAACAGAATACTACAATTTGTAAAGTATCCATTGGTATACCTATGATAATAGGTGAATTAACATTATTTAATATTTTTGTAAGCGTAAACAATGGAGTATTGTTCCAAATGTTCAGTACTAATGTTGTGTCTTCGATCGTCCAAAATATTTTTATTAGTGGAATGCGGTCGCTCCACATCCACTCAGGTAAATGGGCAAAATTTGAACTCGGGTGGTATGTTGGCAGGTAAAAGAATATAGGAGATGCGTCAACAAAGCGGATCATAGTCTGTATTATAGAGAAAATACGTATGCTATTAGCGTTTATAAATGGTCTTTAATGATTTTTAGTATTATCTTTTCGAAGATTTCGTGAATTTTCTAAGAAAAACTCGTTTTTTTCCACTTAGGTATAATTGGATTTTACATTCTTGGGACCTAAGAATCGAATTATTGAGTAGCCCACAGCCAGTACTGATATATTGCAGTTAATGAACGTCTTTAAAGTTATAAGCAGATTCACCAAATTCCTCGCTGCTTGGTAAAATTATACAGAAAAATAGTCATTGTTTGGACTACTCTACTGCTGTTGGTACCTCTCTATTCACTTCTCTCTACATTCATAACCTTAAAGCCCCAAAGACAAGTTTGTGCTAGTTGTTAATTTTGAATAATAAAACAATCGAAGAGTTCCAAGAAAATCCATTGTCTCCGGGTTTCCAATTTTATAAAATTATATGTCTTACTGTTGGCACTCCACTAAGTAGAAAGTACGCGTGTAAATACAAAAATGATAATACAATGGTGCTCGACACCGATAAGATTCGCACATGATATTTATAATTTTGCCGAGGGCTGTAACGCCTCCAGTAACATTTGTATCTGTAGGCACGGCTAAGACCTTCCTACACACCGTCTGAATAAGTACTATTCTGAAGTAATAATAAGTCTTAGTTTAAGTTATATTTAGTCGTACCCACGATTTGGGCTATTCAGACATTGGTGTGTAGGAATTACTTAACCATAACTATATGTAGATACAGACATTATTAGGGGAATTCTTTTTAAATATTATCCTATTATATAACACTTTCTAATGCCATGTGGTACTTCTATAGTTAGCAACGGTAGGCAGTTTGGTGTGGTTTGGTTTAGTGAAAATACATAAATCGGTTTATATTGACTGGTCGGAATGTGTTGAGGGTAGCACATCGACGTTGGTCGGTGACGGAATGGTGTAATGCAGGCACACATTAAGTAGTCCATATCGACCCCTTGTTTCCCAGGGGTCTCCATACGACAGCCGATTTTGTAAGTCGATAAGGTCTAAATCTACAGCTATTAACTAACGATTGTCTTTGAAACTTTTAAGATACTGTATAAGTAGTGGTGCAGCGGTCTGTGAATAGCGCAGACACCTCACGCGGGAGGTTAATCCGAAATGCAATTAGCTTGAATTAGAGACGAATGAAAGAAAAACTATAAGGAAGATTAGATTACCCCTACAGTACACGCGGTAGAACTCTGATACACAATCGAGAGTACCTACCGACTTACATATATACACCACCGGGACTCGGACCAGCGACTGTCGCTTATTAGTATGGTATTTTACGGGAATTTCAAAATATAGAAATTTTGAAGTGGAAATATATCGTCCAAGCGTTGTGGTGAAAAAAGACAGGACGAATGACCATTTTTTTTTTCCTCGTAATGCCGTCGTAACGTTTAAACGGCTAGCGGTGACGTTGAGAACGTTTAGGCAACCTTTTTTTAGGTTGGTAGCGCTCGCGGCGGCGACACGAAACGGCAGACCCCCTAAAGTTCACCAGATATAAAAGGAAATCAGTCGGTACAGATACACTGTTACAGCGGCTTCACCAAGGACCTAATGTTACGTGTACCAACTTGTTTCAAGAACAACTAACATTTTAGTAGGAATGAATATAGTGATTTGCATTAGAAATTATTGATTCATTCGATAGTTAACGGATTATATGTCTATTTTGTTTAATTTGATGACAAGATAATTTTACTTACTACACCGAGGGCAAAGGTTTTTTAATAACCCGGCTCTTGGGGTCTGAGGTGTTATTCCATTTTGAAAAATGGGCTGTTGCCGAAAAATTGTAATTGTCGATATTTCGTTTCATGTTTCTACATCGATATTTATATTTAATGGTTCAACAAGTAAGCCGGTAAAACTGCATGGGGCACGAGGTTGAGTCGGTGCATAAAGCATAGTGGACAGACAGTATCTTATGTTTGATGCGTTCACAACACGTTCATGGTATAACACTGTATACTGGAAAAGGTCACCTGAATGTAAGAAATCTATTCGACCAATTCAACGATTAAAACGAAAATTACTTCTGCGTATTCACTATTTCCCTAGGGCGTAAATTGGTGTTGATTCTGCTAGAAAATGCTAGCCGTGTTCCAATGTAGTTACTTTATTATTGTTAAAATTTGATTACAGTAATTAAATATAATCACTATAACCCTAGGTTATCCATAGTTACTGTGCTTAAAACAGTGATAGATACATTAGGTACATACTCCAACAAATTTATTCTAATCAAAAAAACGACGTATCGCTATTTATAAAAAGACGTGAGATTCACGGATCACGCTTTTCATACCGGGTAGAAGTACTGATCACAAGCTATTTTCACGTGACTTATGTATGATGTAGCATCTAGTATTTTCATTAGCGGATCAGTATTTTCGAAGATTGCCACCTACAAACAAACAGGGAAACTTTACCTCTTCGCAATTAAATAATATAGATAACAAAACTGAAATCAATCTGTTTGTTTTCAGCGTTATTTCGCCGACAGATTATCGTGTACCGTCTCACTGAAAATGTTCCACGTTAAATCACTTTTATCTGAATTACGATACGATGTTTATGATAGACCAGATTATTAGTAAACAGGCTCTCTTTTTTGTAGTTTTGTTGTTAAAGGGGAGAAAATTAAATTTTATCATGTTTTTGTTTGCTTTGTCGTAATAATATTATCCTCCCGATTATATCTCATTCGTATATCTTTTTCGACAAAACGAATAATATAATGATAAAGTGGAAATTAATATTAATGTTGGTATATTTCTTATTTCTAAAAATTAAATAAATAAAAATAAAAGAAATGAGGATTGTTTAAAATCACAATGTTTTAAAACTCCAATTTCAACTTTTGCATTGCACGATATCTGTACAGCATCCTCAAATAAACGTGCATAAATGGTAACCAAACAATAGACTAGTAGTTCCTTGAATTTTTATATTTGTTACCCCATATTATCTATTGGAGAAGTTGCACAGTCATATATAGGTTTTATTATTCTTTTATTAAATCTGCTGTCAATTATTAAGTTCTTTTTTATTCCCACAAAATAGCTTATTTATCCCTGCGGTGGTGATTACACCTTGTGGTTAGGAACCACTGGTCTAGAATGTTTGTTCGCCGCCGACTATATATTTGTTAGTCTATAAGTGTTTCACCTTCTTAAGGAACATCTTCAGGAGTTCTCAGATCTTATTCTTCGTCAGCGCTTTTCCAAAACTCAACAAGCCGTCACAAATTCTAACGTATGTATACTTTCACATACCAAGTGAAACACTCCAAGCCTCCGCTTTTGGTTATGTCGGTTTTTCACAAATCAAAGGAAAATTACTGTTGGCGCTTGAATTTGTAGAGTTTTGGACATTGCGGCAAATGGCATGCGTGTAGACGTGGCACCCACGGATAATTCATTACAAAATTTTTAGCCGTTTTTGTAGACATATTTGTTTGCAGATGGTGCACAGATATTTTGCAAATACCAAATGAATGGTAGTTGCTAAATGTTGCGGTTTTGGTATTTAGAATAAGAAATTAACGTATAGTGACAGGAACGTGTATCGACAGGTCTGCCGCTACTGGTGCAGCGTTCGATCGCGCGTCAGATCCAGTTGCTGGATATAATCGGCAAAGGGCGGTTCGGTGAGGTGTGGCGCGGGCGCTGGCGTGGTGAGAACGTCGCCGTCAAAATATTCTCCTCGCGCGAAGAGTGCTCCTGGTTCAGAGAGGCGGAGATCTACCAGACCGTCATGCTCCGCCACGAGAACATACTGGGCTTCATCGCCGCGGACAATAAAGGTATTGTATTTAATTTTCGAGCTTAAGATTTTGCATGAAGTGAGTTTATAGGGATTTATTAGGATATGCGATATTAGTTTTCCTTTTCAGACTTCTACAATGAATTCAATTGCAGTCTTTCAGTTGACTGATCAATAGAAACATGTACGTTAGCCTCTTACTTTTGACATTCAAAAACATGCCTTTAACATATGCGCAGACAATGGCACCTGGACCCAGCTGTGGCTGATAACAGACTACCACGAAAATGGCTCGTTATTTGACTTCCTTACCGCTCGCACCATAGACTCTAACACGCTCGTCAAAATGGCGCTCTCCATTGCTACAGGGTTGGCGCATTTACATATGGACATCGTTGGCACTAAAGGTAATGCTTGTTAGACATGCTACCACAGTATACAAATTTATAGTAAGTCAATGCAGTCAGTATAAAAGATGCTTTCTTTACACCTCACATTTTTTTTGGTCTAGAATTAAACTTTGATCTAGAGATCTAGACGTGCCCATCGGCCGATTGTAATTACGATATTGATATTATACTTACTGTCTGAAAAACATCCGATGTATTTTCGATAATGATTTCCTTGTTCGTACCTACACTTGCCAGGTTATCACGACATGTCAAATATCCGCAAACGATTTTAAAGTTTGCCTTTAATGTGGTAAATAATATGCTATCGTATTTACATATTTACTACGTTTTAAGATTAATCCGATGATAAAACTTTTCTTAAGGCCCTCTCGTACATCCGCTTACGTTCCCATACAAATACGAGATATCGAGAGCAAAGACGCGCACACTTGGTTTCATAAATGTTGATTATAGAAAAAAAAAACAAATGCAGTTTTAAAAGATATTTTTAATGATTTTAGATTATATCAAAACCTATACTCGGTGGAACAGAACGACCGACACTCCCGAGGTTCCTGGAGAGTACTATTTGTCTTTAATATGATGTAAAAAAAATATAAGTCTCGGTCGAATAGTTTCGGAGATATTAAATTACAAAGTTTTTGAAAAAAAAGAGTGTTTTCAACCCTGAGTTAGTTGTTTTTGGGACGTACTAGGGAACAAGTTTTTAATCGGTCATTGACTTCTTCATTTCTGAACACGAAATAAACTAGTTTATGATTTATAAGACCGCTTTCATGCAAATTCTACCAGACAATCACTAAACAAGACAGTCAAAAAAGTTGTTGCGCATCGCCGCCGACGCACCGCTGAGAAGCGTCTTTTTTGTCGATTTTTGTTTTGTTCTAGTGCATTTTTAATTAAATTTTTGTTAATAAGATACTAGAGTGTTCGTCTTGAGTGTTACGTTGAGTTTAGTGAAGATTGTGTTTAGTTTTGTATGAAATGTGATGTGTTTTGCGCGTGCATGCACCGGCATTGAAAAGAGCGTACTCAGTCTTCAGAGAGGAAGTGGACATTTTCAGCATCGACTATCATTAAGATATCGGTAAATAATTAAATTAAATTAATGTATTTCGCGGTTCGTTGTAATCTGCACACAATCGATATGGCGCATGCGCGTTATAGGGCTGTCAACACTTAGAAATTTAAAAGTTTTACTCCATTTTTACACCTCCTCTATTTTTAAATATTTGTCAAATAAAATGAACGTTTGCATGTAACCTAACTTGAAACTTTCGGCTGTGTCGGACATTTTGTTCCTCCCAGTATATAATTAAGGTTAAATATATTAGTCTTAAAATCGATCCGAAAAACCTTTTTAAAATCATCTATGCGATTTTCATCTATCGAGCTAATTATTGAAATTTATGTTTGTAGCAAACAGTCGACCATATGTCCAGGGCCAGGGATAAACGGCTCAGTTGCAAAAGCGTCACTAATGAATGTCTAATTTGTATGGGTAATGCTGCTTTGAAATAATGTCAAATTTAATGGACGTTTGAGCAACTTGCTCCAAAGTGCCTTTTTTAAGCATTTTTCATTAAGTATTTTTATCAGTATAGAATTGTGAATGAAAAATTGATCAAAATATAATAAAAGTTATTTTTATTTGCCAAATATTAGCATAGCCTTTGAACAAAATTAGTTTAATAAGTGGTAATTCCCTACAACCTTGCCTTAAGAATACATTGATATTATAAAACATTGACAAGACTATACTAATATTATAAAGCTGAAGAGTTTGTTTGTTTGAACGCGCTAATCTCAGGAACTACTGGTTCGAATTGAAAAATTATTTTTATGTTGAATAGACCATTTATCGAGGAAGGCTTTAGGCTATATAACATCATGCTGCAACTATTAGGAGCGAAGAAATAATGGAAAACGCGGCCGAAGTCGCTGACGGCCACTAGTCAAACATAAAAAGGAACGTGTCACTTAATTATTTTATATCCTATGACTAACTACGTCAAAAGAGCATTAATTTATTAGATGTACTAAATTTAAGTCGGGGTCCGGTGGACGTCGAAAATTAAGTATGGTTTCTTCACAACTGCCTTAGTTACTGCTAGAACATTCTATAGGTTATATACAGGGCTATTTGTGAAACTAGCGACTAAATAACTAAATATGAACAACAACATGATCTACAAGTTTTTATATAATTCTTTGAACAAAAATGTTTTTACTGTAGTTTATCGGTCTATTATTATATTCATAAACGAAAGTATAACGCAAGGTTCGCACGCTGTGTGAACGGATTGATATTGTGCGTAGAGCAATATTACGATTGGAGCACTAAATTATATTAAATTTTATTTTTGCATGAAATAACAATGGTACTAATATTATAAACTCATAGAAAGAAAGTTGTTGTTGTTTATGATGTTGGCTATTTAATCTAGCGAGTACATTGGTGTTTTACAATTGACCCTGTATAACCTTAGATATATTATATCAAAATATTTTTTGTTTAAAATTTTTAATAATTTGTGTATCAGGCAAGCCAGCGATCGCGCATCGAGATCTGAAATCAAAGAATATATTGGTGAAGAGTAACCTGAGTTGCGTGATAGGTGACCTCGGTCTCGCGGTCAGGCATAACGTGGCAAGTGACTCTGTGGACGTGCCTTCCACCAACAGAGTCGGCACCAAGAGATATATGGCGCCAGAGGTAACATGACTAATTCACTAATTTTTTTTTTGCCAAGGCTGTGTTCGTTCACTCTCTAATTTAAAAAAAGTCGTAGTTTGACATGATTAAAATAAAATTTTGTCTAGTTTATGCCAACAGCGTTGCATCATAACTATTTTTTATATTTTTACAAATTTACTAAGATTCCTAACCTACTTCTGCGAGGGGTCTCCAGATCTGCCACATTGAATTGACATCGATTATATATAAATACACTTCATTCGTGCAACAAGTCTATATCGACCCACATTATTATGCGTTTATACAGTAGATATAGCTCCATGGTATAACTGAGCCGATTTATATTTGTACTGTATGTAAATAAAATAAGACCTTATTAGAAAGAATATAGGATAGTCTTTATCACGAAACTAATTCATTCACTTACGTTCTTATATGTTATTATATTCGTCTTTCTATGTTATTATAATTAAAGAATAGACATCGATAAAAGCTTTGACAAAAATAGGCTACTAAAAATTGTGACCCCACTGAAGTACAAATAAAAAACACACTTATGAGTTGTTGTGTAACTTAAAACTCCTTGACCTGACTTTTCATTGGTGTGAGTATCCAGTGTGCAAAGTAAATAGTTTTGTTTCTAAAATAGATTTTCATAGCGTCAATCATATAGCGATCTTTATTACTGCATTATTATAGTTGTATTTAACCACACGACCTCCCTGTCTAGAATAATGAATCATATGTGATTATTATCCTGTCTATTGTCATATTATTCTTTCAAATATTCAGATAAAGAAAAAAAAATGAAAACACATCTCACACATTGACAATATTCATATTTTACACATGAAGTAATTTAACTATCTATAGACGAAGAGCCTCTGTAAGACTATTAATTTATGAACTCTTTGTTTTTAATGCGATTTTAATTTATTTCTGTTATTAATTGATCATTATGAATGACAATGTTGTTATCGTAATACAAATAATATTTGCTTATGACGCGATAACTACAGTATATGTAAAGCTAAAGCTCGCCGTGAGTCCGTCTCACGTAACTGACCCTAACAGGCGTAGGTGGGTGTGACGGTCACGTCCGAATCCCTCGTGCTCTATCCCGGATCATTCCCCCCACGCGAGAGTACTCCGTAGCGGGTTTTATCAGGCGGGCTAACCACGATCTCAACCCGCATTTCGGGCTGTGTTGGAGTGATCTGATTTAAGGCACATGGCATGGTGCATTTATTTATATGCCTTGAATATAATATTCCCATTCTTTCGTTGCTGGGTTAAATAGATAAAATTGAACTCGTCGCCATTTATGTTGGATAAATAAGAAATACTATTTTAACACCTTTGCTCGTAAAGCTGATGTAATTCCACCGGTTTTAAATATGTAAAGCGGGTCATAAAAAACGCGTGTGTTACCAAAGCAAATAGTTAAGTTATAGTCCATACAAATTCCATAACAGTATTATTTGCCATTTCGCGCGCTGTTGCTATTCAAATTTCGAACTAATCGCCGCGCGGCGCCAGTCAGTGTTAAAATGGCGGGAAAGCAACAGTGTACATTCACAGATTGAGTTTATTTTTTTTTTTTTTCTGTTTCCTCGCAAATGTGTTAAAAACGTCGTACGATATACGTGCGTATTGGTTATAACATGCTCGGCTCAATTACGCTCTCGCCTTCGGCTCGGGCTGAAATTCAGCCTCGCATGTTATAACCATCGTAACGCACTAATATCATTACGATAAATTAAATAAGATTGTATTTTCCATGTCATTGGTAACAAGGATAACATTGTCATAGCAACAACTTTTAAATGCAAACAAACAATCTTTATAATATAAGAATAAAGATAACCCTCTTTCACAAACACGCCAGTTTGGTACAAGAGAAAAGTAAAATTAAAATAAAAAAAATAAAGCCTGAATTTGATGAATGTAGACCTTTAAGTAGGTAACTTCAGCCGCAGAGCAGCCTATCTATAAAAGCGCTCGTAATACCACCCCTTATACGCACACCATTACAGAACGTTAATAAAAAATGAAACAAATTCCCGTAAACGTTTTTGTGTTTTACCAATAACACTATAATGTCCAATATCGCCGATGAGACTGATACACATCACGTATCCGTGCAGGTGCTAGACGAGAGTATGGACACGCGCCAGTTCGATCCGTACAAGCGTTCGGACGTGTACTCGCTCGGGCTAGTGCTGTGGGAGATGGCGCGTCGCTGCGGCGCGTTGCCCGACGAGTATCAGCCGCCGTATTACGACTGTGTACCGCCGGACCCGGCACTGGAGGACATGAGGCGGGTGCTATGCGTCGAGAGGCGGCGCCCGGTGGTGCCGAACAGGTGGCACGCGGATCCGGTGAGACTTGGCCGTGTCCTTTCTACTTTTTTTTTTTTGTTTTTTGTTGTAGTAGCTTAATAAGATTAGGATCGACTCCGGCACGGAGCTCATGCCCGTTTTGTCTCGTACAGGGCTCGGTTTGACGTTATCTTTTTTGTCGTTCTGCCGACAACGGCTTTGCTTTAGCCGGCCAATGGTATTTTAGTCTTCGCTTTTTATTATTAAATTGACATTGTTATATATTCATCGGACGCGTCCTTTTCGATATTTCTGTTTCTCTTTAATAGACTTCAAAAATGTGGGTCTTAGTTTGACCGTATAAATAACTAAAATTAATGAAATAAATAGTGGTTTAATTTTTCAAGAAATTTCTATTGAAATCAAGCAGATGTTTCTTGAAGTTTTGAAGTTATATCTCTGAAATTAACTTTTTTAAAATTAAAATTTATATACGGAGAACATATACTTAAACTCAAGAGGTGTTGTCTAATTATTTAGGTGCTATCGGCGATATCGAAAGTGATGAAGGAATGCTGGTACCAGAACCCAGCGGCGCGGCTCACAGCTTTGCGCATCAAAAAGACACTCGCCAACATTGGCACACCAGACTACATCAAACTGTAGGCAACCCTGCCAGAAAAACGCTAAGCGGCAACCCTAGCGAGACACGACCCATAACGACCGCAAGAATATTTTTGTTTGGTGACGTCTGAAAAAAAAAACTCAATTTAACGTCTAGAAATAGTTAAAACAAAAGAAGAGCAATGAGTATTTTACAAATGCGGTATAGGTTTTCTATATTTTATAATTAAAGTATAGTGTTGTACTAAGTCGTGTAGAGACGTTCGATTTGAATCGAATAATGGAAGATCGATTTAAATACGAACTCTCCGAGCAATCGAATGAGTAAATCTACTTAGAAACGCCAGCTCAAGTGAAGTTGCGTCGGTTATCGATGTATTGTTGACGAGTAGACGATAAGTGATGAATGTTTTGGTATTGGAATTGAATGTCAATAAAATTCGATGAATTTATAAAAGAGTCAAAGAGTTTATAATGCGGCGGCAGCCGATGGATGCGTTAGATTAGGTTAAGGTTACACATTATACACATTCGATCCAATTTAGGCATAGCACTAACGCGTGTTGTTCTGATCCTCCTGGCTTTACAATGTCGATTGGAATTTAAAAAAAAGGGCAGTCAAAAATGACTGCAGTGTCTTAAAATTAAGTTGTTTACGAGGTTTGATGATCTAATAAAATGTCTCTAATTTGGGCATGATCTATCAACGCCAAACTAAAAAACATGTCAAGATATCCAACATAGGGTTCTAAATATTCGATATCATTTTATTTTTTGTAATGAAGAACAAATTAAACGGTTGTTTTCAATGACATTTACCAGTCAGTTTTGACAATATGAATGAATTGACACTAGTTGAAAAAATGACAGTGACAGTTTGTTGTTTTAATCATTGGTCGCTGTCTTTAGCCGCTTATTGAGAGCGAGATAATATTAAACTTGATTTACTGAAGTAACATTACATTTGATTTAATTATATGTTTACGAAAAAATCTTTAAATATTATTATTTCATCTATTGGTAGTGGTGGTGGTATATCTAGGATCTGCACGCTTAGCATGACAAACTCGAGAAACGCTTTGTCTACACTCATTTGTCAGTTTCTCGGGTCAAGAGTGAGATATAGTATGGGCGCACTCGAGAAAACGCTCTCGAGTTCGTCATGCTACGCGTGCTGGTTTAATGACATGTCTCGTGTCATTAAGTCATGACTAACATTAGAAACGCATCACAGAGAAAAACGAGTAAAAATATGATAAACATCACACATATCTTTAGATTATATTCTCTGATCTCTAAAGTGTATCATAAAAGTGTCTAGTAAGTCACGTAAGTACCTAATGTATAAGCTTCTTATTAATAGCGTTGTCGTTTATCTGATATATTTGTATATATACACATATACACAGTTTGACATTAATAATGTCACTGTCACTTCTGATTATATGAAAATAATTGTCTATGATTGTAAAGCGAGGAGAATCTTTTTTTTTTTTAATATTGGTAGTTATTGTAAGCTCCCTGCCCTACCTCTTAGTGTATGTAAAACTATATCAGAAGGAGCATTTATTAAAGATAGGTCATCGTTTCTCAATGTAGTCAAACGTACACCATTCCCACAGAAAATAAAAAATATATCATTCGTTTTTTTTTTTGTGTCCAGTCCATCGTTGAGTTAATTATAAAAATGTTAGGAAATAAATTTTATTATATATATTATTTTCTCATAAGTTAATTGAAAATATTATATGTCAGATGTCAGATACGTAAAAGAACAACACTTTATAGTTATTGTTAATACGTAATCGTCCGTTTGAGACATTTTTTTTATTACTAACAGTTTGACTGATTTTGAGAGTTATGATTTATTTAACTGGAATCAGAGTCTTGAAAATTGCATATACATATTTTTCCGGTAATATAATTTAATTATCATTTGTCCGTCGCCGCCTTAGTTTTCTATCGCTCGATTACTATGAGAAATGTTGCATCAGATACGTACGTTGCGGCGTAGCTAGAAATCGATATGTTGTAGTGATATTTTGCGTTACCATGTACCTAGTTATTAATTTTTGTTAAGATTATTGCGGTTTATTTTTATTGTGAATTTTAAAAGAAAACGAATCGGTTGACTTTTCTTTTCTTTTAAGCACTATTATTTTTTTTTTCTGTGATATGCAAGTTTGCGTTCCGCTATTTAGTGAGTTACAGATTTTCTTATAGATTATGTACTGTTATCTTTTCAAATAACGGAATGCATCATGGCAGCGGTTTATCGAGTCCCACGTTCCGTTTTACGCAGGAATCGCATGTATTATTTATATACAATTTGTTTTAATTGGACATCTTTCCGTAGATGTTGTACCGATATTATTTGCTATGTTAACATTATACTGAGCTCCATTATAGGGTCGTGTGTTGCAAGTATAAAGTATACAATAGGGACGAGTTGAAATTAAAATATATTTTAAAAATGTTTCAAAATATGAATGGAAGTTATGTATAGTACAGTCGACGATGGGCGTATAGCATATAGTTTATTGTTACAGTGACATTGTGCTAACCGTTGTCGACTGTACCTTGCGCACACTCCTATAACGAGTGTACCCTGTACCTTTGAATTTTATTGTTAATTAATTAATAATAAAACTTTTCTATGTAAGATGCTACGATATCTTTACGTTCAATATATATGTTTATCGTAAAGTATGAGAGACACAACATTCGCAGAAACTGCATGTCTGTAGATTGCATATTACACAAACTGTAAAAACTCACAATTGAGCGTTGAAATGTGATCCTTATGGCGTGTTATTTACATTGTATTTTTATGTATAATTAATAGAACACTTTTCATGCAGTTCGTTCTCTCTGATCAACATAATTGACCGCAAGTAAGTACTGTGAGTGACACTATTTACCCGACTGCGTAACGCAAAGGAGGGTAATGTGTTTATGAGTATGTATGTTTGTTCCTTAATGGTAATGGCACCAAACGGCTTACCCAATTTTTATAGTTGGTATTTCAATGCTCACTTGTACGAATCTTCCGCAAATATAAAATTATATGTCCCAGTGAAAATGACACTTTTCTACCTGTACGAATATATTATAATCATTTCATATCGAAATAGCTGTTTCATGAACTGCAATGTACATTTCTGCGGAGCTTTGCGTCATATAACGAAGGGCTTTAAAATTTCTGGTTGCCTCTAAATTAGAAAATGGTGATTGAATATTGTTACTTTTTGCCTCTCTCCACATCCTTGTCACAGCTGGTCACGTTCGTGAGACTTTGTGAGACTCCCATCCCTCCCTAGTGAGACAGGTTGTTAATTAGCGGCCTCTTATGATGCAATATATAGACTATACATATGTTCAAAGCTCGTATTTTAACACTTTATTATAATAGATTTTGAAATGTGACGTCACGAAATTTTCTGACCATTTCCACACTAAGTCGACCCTCTCCCTACCCCTTAAAGTATGATTAATTGATGGTCCCTAAATACAACGCTATTCCCAAAAACTTATTATTTTATATATATTGGAATAGTTACATCCCTGACGAATAACTCGAAACTATATTGGCGAGAATTGAATCAAACGTCAAAATGACAGATAGGGATGCGTGTAATCATATCGAAAAAACAGTGATTTAAATAATAGTCGATTTCCGCTAACATTATGTATTGACGTATATGCTATTTTTACCTACAACTGCACTATTACCGTCTTATCAGTAAAATCAAAATGTCTAAGCGTTTTAACGTGTAAACGCAATTCATTTCATAATCAATCAGTTTAATTAAATCACCTGTTGTGCTGTTGATTTCATAAATAACGTATAATAGTTATTTATTTTTTTATTTTAATTTATCTTGCCAGAGCGGCTATCTTGCCGTAAGAATGGCTAGTCGTTTTGACGTATTTGATTTGAATGATTTATTTGGTGGGCAAAATCTATTGTGTATTGACCGCAAGTGGTACTCGTAGTACTTAATCGCTTTTATTCAAGTAAACTTACGGTCAGGCGTCGCACGGTTGATAGAAGGTCTCCCCTAAATATTGTATGCACCAATAAAAACCTAAAAAAACATATATATATATATATATACGAGAGGGAATGAAAAAATGGTGAATTTTAATGGTAACTTTTTTTTTCTATCGCAATGTTTTGAGAATTATTAATTGGATGTAGTTTTCTGATTGTTTAACTACTGCTTGAAAGTAATTATGACTTTCAATATATACCTAAGTAGCGATTTTCAATCATCATTCTGGGGTCAGATGCTTTGGCGCCCACATAACTTTATGAAATTTTTCAAAACTACAGTGCAGCTATTTTCATACTAGTTTTGTAAGGTTAAATATGTAACGTAGATTTGATTATTTGGAAATGTTGTGTATGTATGTATGTATATATATATATATATAAATACGTATTTATATACATATATATATAAATTTATATATATATATATATATATATATAAATTTATATATATATATATATACATATATGTATATGTATGTATGTATATAGACTTGTTTGAACGCCACGTACGACGTCGTAAATATACCATAAGTTATAAATTAAGTGAGTAGATTTCGTACATTTTGTGTAATTTTTTATATTTGTAGAGTACCGACTTTTTTTATAATTAATATTATAAACATAATTGTAATGTTAGGCGGTTCGTAAGTAGAAATGTTGTATGTACAAACTAGTTATTCCGGAAGACGTAAGTTGTATTGGTCTGAGAATGAACTGAAGTGGACATGTTGCAGTAACGCCCTATTCTTTAACAAATTTTTTGTAGTCAATTTTCGGACTTAGCTCTCCTGATGATAAAAGTTCAAAACTAGTCGAGGAAGTTTGATGTGTTTGTAGCAATTTGAAGAACTTACATTTACTAAAAGAAAAGCGAAGAAACTCTGGAAGAGAACTCGTCGTTTTATTACTGTAAAAATTTTAATTGTCATTATGTGATCTTATACTTACATATAAACGTTATTACGAAGATATAGGGTTCGTTATTGAAACTACACTAAAACAGCCTTTGCCTGACATTGACAACTATTTAATACCTAAATATTTAAAAAATAGATCGTCGTATGATAGTGGTAGCCAATGGCAGCGAATTTTTCGCGCCTAATTCGGAATTTGATTGGGAAAATGTCTGCCAAACGTTCGGTCGTATTTTGTTTGTGCTTACTACATACTTTTGTTTGTGGAATCACCACTTAGATGGGTATTTATGAATATAGAATTTCCGATTTGGTAACTACTCCGACCCATTCCAACTAAGTCCACAATAGCATTCACTTTGACTCATAGTTGCAGTAGCTGTAAAAAAACAGTAGTGTAACATAATATCCAAGATTCTTGTGGATACGAAATCTTAACGTCAAGTAAATTCTACAGCATTAAATTTGTCGCTAAAGGTGACCCTATTGATCATATTAGTTCTAGTTAAAAAGTTCTTATATATGCCTTCTCCCAAGTTTAGGTAAGTTGAGTTTAAAACAAGGACGACTGCATTTTATGTTGACAGATGAATGTGAACAAGGTTTATTCATGGGTTGTATACGTAGAAAAATGCTATATATAATATTTTGCTTCAGTTCATTCACATGACCGAAAGAGTTGGTTAGTTCTCCTAAAGTATACATTCAGTTTATCATGGTAGAAATTTTTATACTGAACGAGATAATTATCGATACGCCTGCAACATGGATCTCGTAACCTCTCCATACCGGCATGACGAAGCAGCGTTTTTATACAGCAATAATAAAGTTATCATAAAAAAAATCATACTTTTAGGGTACTTCTGAAACACATCTAGAGGTCTAATCTGAAACTCGGAACTATTATAATGAACGGTTGTAATTTAATTTTTTTTGTTATATTCTGATAATTCCTCTTCCACTTTAAATTGTTCGCTCCAAAATAAACAATATTATAAGATTATTTTAAAGGTTTCAGATTGTCTCACTTGTTCAGTCTTGAACAATTAATTGTAGAAAGTAAATACTTTCTTCCGGTTCCAGTTTCTATGTTAAAATCTGATTTAATGTTGTATTTATTTTGAATTATGTTGTGTAACTTTAAGACAAATTAAGTTAATGATTAGTGTTATAATATTAGCGTGATCGGTATCGTCCCTTATGCCTGCATTCGTAATGCCAACTCTGAACTGCCCTTGATACCTGCCGTCAACTAACTTTCGATAAGTAATTTGTATTTCGCGAGAATGTAAATATTCATTGTATTTATTTATTAATACTTTTTAGCGAATACGTTTTTTCAGTGTAGGTTGTTTACAAGTTTTTAGCTTTCTAAAGAGATGTTCACTTAAAAAATTCCTATATAATATTTGCACGTCAGCCACCTTTTTTATAATACCGATCATTGATTGCACGTTATGATTTTGAATCTTCTCCTTTTTTAAAACAGGTGATCATATTATTTACTAGAACCAGCGCCAGGATGCCTACATTTCCATACAAGACTTGTACAAAATGTTGACTTAATAAATACAAACTACCTACATCGTGCAATAATTGCTAAAACATTACAGTATCTTTAATTAAAATTAAAAAGAGTTCAGTTGAAGACACGTTATTTCTACACCACATTTGGGATAAGCTGTTGATCGACCTGACGAGGTTGAAAAATTGTTGTGTATAATCTTCCAGAAATTAAAAAAAAAAAAATTATAGCAATTGAATTACCTCATTAGACACGTATATTATAATTATTGAAAGTTCTCGTCAAAATATTGTCTAGCATTAGTTTTACCTGTAGTTGTGCATTTTGACGTTGACAAAAGGTATTTGTTAGAAATTTTTAGACGACTGTTCGCCATTTTAGATCTATTTCTGATTGTATGCTGTTTTAGTGGATACACTATTGAACCTTCTAATAAAATTATTCATTTGGCAAATGATAGAAACAGAACGCCCTTATAAATATAGTATTATGTAACTGCGCACTCCAAAATGTATTTTATGAGTCCACAATTTAATGTGAATTTTTTCTTTGTATAATGACAGTTAAACTTTTAAAGTGTGTGTAGTTATTTGTGTTGCGAACTAATAAACGACAACTGTCAAATTGTGTCTTCTGGAGATCGCAGAACGATTTGAATTGGTAGTTATTAGTGCTTCAAAAGATTCACTTAATAATGACACTGAAAATATTTTATACCATTTCTCAGTAACTTTGCAGTGCCAATATTGTAATTTGAATAATACAGACCACAGTCCTACCATCCCTTTAAACAGTTATTTACCTTAATTAATATAAATTGACAGCGTCTGCTTTTGAAAAATGTAACACAAACACCATTTGTGCCTATTCTGTGAATACACAGATTATACTTGCATTCAACACGCTATGTAGGATGTTATCACCTACCATTGGATTTTTTTAAATTGTCCGGATCAATCATTATTGAATGTTGTATGCTCATCACATTGTTTGGAGTTGTGACTTCTACACTATAGGGCCAATACGATTCTGTATCCCGAGATAACTAAGGTCACCTGAAGGAAATGCGTCCATGGGGTAAATGCAGCTATTTGAAATAACTGACAAACTAATCCGACTACAGCAACTCTAGCCATCTAGATGCTGTGGTTGCTGTAGTCGGATTAGCCATCTAGATGGCTGGAGTTGCTGTAGTCGGATTAGTTTGTCAGTTATTTCAAATAGCTGCATTTACCCCATGGACGCATTTCCCTCAGGTGACCTTATTACAATTTAAATAATGTATTTTTCTTTTTATATTTCTTAATACATACCATTTATGCTGCTCGTTTTAGTTTTATGCTGCTGATTATAAAATCTTTTTTTTTTTTGAGATTGTTGAAGTGAATCCAATGTTTGTCAGATTTTTTTTTTCTCTTGTTGCTAAGATAATAAGATGACATTTTATACACAACTGTTCTTGTCAACTGTTAAAAGCTTATTAAAGTTCCTTTTTTTTTGTTAACCGTTTCGAAACGGTGCACCGTTTGTTATTTTTTTTCGTTTATTTTAATAAAATGCTCACAATTTTCACGTTGCATTTGGCTGGTTATTTAGTGATACGAACACAAAGTCAGCTTCACACGCGCGTCACCACGTCAGTTAGTAATACAGTGACATATTTCAAACGCAACGAGAGGATTGGAATCGATCGGAGAATTTTGACAGTGTCACAAGGTGATGTGTCGTTGAACATACGGTGCAGTGAATCACTGCGTACATAGTCTAAATAATGCTACAAACTAGTGATTTAAGTGCGACATTTAAAACGTTTACATATATATGAGTCTATATATAATTAATTCATTGTAATTGTGAGATTAAAAATACTTTAGTGTTAAGTGGCCCAAGTTCAAATTAACGTCATTATTACAATCAAATGTACAATCGTCGAACAATGTCTGTACAGACACGATGAGCAATACCATTAGAGTACAAGTAATAATTACATTCGTTAACGAACTGCAATAAGTTTATTTTTGACAATTTCAGAGTCATATCACAAGAATGTTCTAATTTGAAGTTTAATTTCGTGTGTATATATTTATATTTTGTACATAGTACACAAGATAATTTAATTATGCCATTATGTAGGTTTTATTATTATTTATGGATTTAATTTGATTTAATAATAATATAATAAATGGTTATGGAGTGGACTCATAATATAATAAACAAGTGTTTTTATACTAGTTTGTTTTATTTTGTATCGTACTCATGATGATTGGTTTTAGTAGGTACCTGATTACAGTTAGCCAGTCTCATATAATACCCGAGCGTGTAAATAATATCCTTAAATAGACTAAGTCTTTTTTCACACTTCTTAAAAGTGGTTTATAAATTGCACTCTTCTATTGAAATCTGGTGGTTAATATTAATAAACAACATACATAAAACATCCGTCAGATTACGATACTTTATTGGATACGAATCACTTTTAAGATAAGTACATATTATATTTTAAATGATGATAACTAATAAACAATACGACTATTTGAAGTAAAAAAAAAATAAGAAGAATTGAAGAAGCTAATATGATAATAAAACTGCTGATTCGATTATATTTTTAACACCTTAAGTGTTTCTCACACAATGAAAACGCACAAATATGTTAAAAGAACTGGATGGCTAAAATGGATGTCATCAACTGGCAAACTCTATGACTAGAACTCTTCCCTTTCTTCTTCCTTACTTCGTATTCCCAATCTTTAAAATAACGAAGAGAGAAATTTGAATTTTTTAATAACACCAAAAGTTGACTGTTATTTGAAAATAAAAAAATACCATTTTAAATCATTCAATTTATTTTATTGGACGGTTATTTTATCACTATATTTATAAAAATATACTTACACTGATCAATATGAAACTAAAATTATCAGAAAATGAAAATAGATAAATAATAGAATGAGTGTTGTGTTATGAAGTTATGATGAACACATTAATAAAACAATACATAAAAAGTTGTGCATTAAATTCATAACCTAAAATTGATTATTAAAATTTAAGAATAACTTATTTGTGTCACTAACATGCGTTGATTCAGGTAAATTTTATATATGGTCAATAGTAGTACATAGAGCCTGCTAAAAAGTGGGGGAAAGCGTTAAAAAAAAAAGTAGTACATAACATTATTATGTTTGAAAATGTCAGATTGAACAAACTATATAGCAAATATATATTTATGATATAGTACATACACATTATGATATAAAAAAATATATATAACATTTTAAATAATTACTAAATCTAATAATATAAAAAATTGTCTTCATTTATGCTTAGGTTTATCTAAAATACTAATTACTAAAACATATTTGTAATGGATGGATTCAGTTTCTAAATAGGTACATTTAGTTGGTTTTATGCATAAGACACCTTCTGTTCATATGCCTCTTCATCATTCCAATAATCTTTCTCTGTAAGCGTATGGTGACGCAGATTACACCAGCGAGCTCCGAACCGGAGTATAACTATGATGACCAACAAAACAAATAAAGAAAGGACAGCTATCGCTGGATACATCAATAGGAAAGCCATATTTAAATATCGCTTTCACGTTTGTGTAACTCTAAATATTCCTGAGATGAAGTGAGTGGTTGACGTGATACAGAGGGTGGAACTTCAGATTCCCTCTTATGAATGTCGTGATACTCCTCTCCGTGATATTGGTGAACGTATTGAACGAGATGGTTTTGGCCCTCTAGCTCAGTGAAGTCGAGTGGTGGTTGCTTATGGGGTGTTGTTGACCAGATGGACACAATCCAGCGATTACCTTTCAAAATATATAACAAATTTAAAGAGTTTGTTCTACAATAATTGTTATTGTAGTAATAGTTGAATTAAACTTCTTTGTTCATATGAATGCAAGTCTACAAAATATGTTACAGCCAAAGTAATAAAGTGAGTTATAACATATAAAAATATAGGTATTATTAAGTGATTAAAAAGTTTTGAATTATGCTTGGCATTTCCTTTTAAGGTTTAGGTCCTCACTAAGAGATTTTATAAAATTCAACTCCTAAGGTTTATATTAAGGTTTCATTTTGGGCATTAAAAAAATTCATAATAATGCATATGTTCATATCACATAAACTAATGCCCGTTTTCACTAAACTTAGGTGTCACCCAAATCTATCACCTAATAAACATTTAAGAATTGCTTAAGTTGAAAATGAATTTCGCCAATGACTAGAAATCACCTAATGATATTAAAAAATATCTTACGATATGAAATGTATTATGAAGCCAGTGCACTAGGCATTTGTGTAAATACCATTGAGGTAATAGGTCCAAGTGCATGCATGTAGCATGCAATGCATTAGGTACTTGTTTTTAACAGTGTCATCTAACAGCAGAGCTAATCTGATAATAATAGCATATATGTTTCTAATATTCTTGTTGAATCATGCACTTTCACTGTAATATTAATAAACTTACCTGTATGTCTATCTAGCCAATAGTCAGAGTACTTAGAACAACAACACACGATGTTCAATATTAACAGGAATCCCAGAATAACAGAACAAATCGCAATGGCGATGTAGAATGGTGAGAAATCTCCAATGCGGGATACTAAAGGATTTAGACGTCTGTATGTACCGTTTCCTGTAAAGTAAGCGTAAGTTTCAGTAGCCGACATTCTCGACTAATTTCACCTGTCGAAGAAGAAAAAAATTCGTCAAACTCATAGCTATCATAACAAAACAAGAAAGCGGCCGCGCCTCTAATTCAAATAGCGTCCCAACAAACGGGGCGTGGTTCCATTCTAATCAAATAGAAATAAAAAATAAATCTAACTGAACCTCACCTAAGTGGATAATAGAAACTAACAATAGTTCGATTCTAGTCGGTTTTGTAGAATTTTAACACTATTCTGAGATGATACCCAGCAATTGTAATCTTTCAGAAAATTTCTTAAAACAATTCAGTAATAGTAGTATTATAATTCGTCCATGGGACAGGCGAAGGAACTAAGCCATACAGCCAAATCTTGGGGAAAACAATTCAACTCGGTTACTACTCGATTTGACTAAGAATAGACCCTATCCCATGGCCCTGCTCCTGTGTCAATCTCAAATCATAATTAATTTTGTCTCAGTCAAAAGGTGAATTTATAAAAGTAATTCTAACTAACTTCTAACCTTAAATTCATACTTTTCTCAATTTTTTTTATCGTAATCATACTCTTTTTTTGGGAAGAAAAGGGGTGGATAATATCTTATTTCGTCTTAAAAGGGGAAGAACACATAAGATAACAAAATGTGCAAAGTCAAAATTAAACTTTAAAATATTCTCTCTATGATTACCTGTGCAAAATTTTAGAGGTAAAATATTTGCTATGACTATTCCACATATATACTAGCTTTCTGCCAGTGATTTCCACGTAGTTCATATGGAAATGTTAAATGAAATAAAAAGTAACATAAATCCTAAAAATTAGCGATATTACCAAATTTCAAGAAAATCCATTCAGTACCTATGGCGTGAAAGAGTAACAAACGTACATCATCATCGTCAGCCTTAAGACGCCCGTTGCTGAGCAGTGGCCTCCCCCATAGATCTCCACGACAGTCGGTCCTGCGCTGCCCGCATCCAACTTACTTACTTGTTAAAATATTCAGGAATCGATGATAAATCTCACCATAGAAATACTAAAAAAATACAAAAATTGGGAAAAGTATCAAAATAGCTTGGTCGTAGTTTCAACACAGTAATGTGGACTCGAGGCCTTGAACAAGTTGTCGAGAACTCGGAACGCTTCAAAATACCTAATCTCACAGAGTGACAATTTGTCATATGGCTCTTAATTTGTTTTCAAAGACTTGTTTACTCTTTGGTTTTTTTTTTATATTAGAGATGCAAGGTTTAACAAAGATATCGATATACATATATCGATCTAAAATATGTCAAGTACATACAATAAAAGATATTGTTTTATAGAAACCTTATATAAATAAAATTCGTTTTATCGTATATTTTTAAATCTGCTCATAATTCGTGGTAGCTACTGCATTTAGGAACAGTAGTTTGGGCAATTTACTTCCTAAAAGCCTGTTCCTACTTCGTGTGATGGTGGAACCTGTACGCGTAATATGACGATCGTTTAATCTACATGCAAATATAACTTTTCACAGGTACCTATGCTCATACGATATCTCACTCTCGAGAGTGACGTTTGGTGTAGATAAAGCGTTTCTAGAGATTGTCATGCTACGCACGCTGCCTTTAAAAAAGTTGACACTTAAAATAGATGGAGATTGGATTGGGAATGACACATTATTGTGGAATTAATAATACAAACCACTCAAGTGCAAATTCGATAACGCAGTTAGGGTGTCATACGCCGTCGTATTTGTTGAACAGAAAATCATCATCTGTGAAAATTTCAACCGTCTAACTTTCACGGCTCATGAGATACAACCTGGTGACAGACAGTCAGCGAATTCATAGTAATATAGTACCCTTTGCGTACGGTACTTTGCGTACGGAACCTTAAAAATAACTATGTACAAAATTCAAAGCAAAAATCAGGGTAACAAAATAATGTCACACATGTGAGGAAGTAAAGATGTCATTGGATGTTTAAAATTAGGATTTGATAGGAGATCACTCGGATATAAGTCGGTATTTTTCGATATCGTTATATATTTTTTTCATTATTTTTGAATATTTACATAATTTGTGAATATTTAAACTATCTATTACGGTACATGAGGTAAAGTCTGATGTTAGGTGGACAAATGGACAGGGTTTGGTACGGAACTGTAATGTACTTTTAATTGTTTTTCATATAGACCCTACAATATTTGCCATATTTCAATAACATATTTTTAAAAGTTAATGATTTATCTTGAACGTGGTGAGAAATACTGCTAAGCTTTTCATAAATATCATTTAAGTGTAGATCGGACGTAGGATGTTATAATTTGGTCAATGGACATAGTTATATCGTTTGGGTTTCAATATGTTGTATTTTTGATATCGATATCGATAGATATTGACATTTGTGGGCTTCGACATATCGATATATATCGGTTTTCTAATATATCCACATACCTAGGTCGGTCACACTCTGAGCGAAGAAGGAAATTCTTGTTGGTGTAGTAATAGATGTCCTATTGATCTTTTGTATTCGTTATTAGGTATTTAAAAAGTAATTCTAAACTGTATAAACTTTAATACTTCTATAATCTCTTAAATATGGAGTGGATGGTGCCTGTGAACGAGATGCTCAAGGATGACATCACAAAATTAAACTACACTTTGATACCCCCTGGATTCCAAGGCGATGTTCGAAGTGTGAGGTTCGTATACGGATGTTATTCTAATAAGAATTCTATTCTAATTAAATGGTACGATACAGCAACAATAGAACTGCTAGGATTAATTTAAAACTGCCATTCTATGGCGTCATATAGGCACACCTACTTACTCAAGTCAAGGTTCTAATTGAGTTTTTCATATGGCATTGAATTTTTTTAAACTTTTTAATTTTACGACTTTTATTTATGAATGAATTATGGCATTTATTTAATGTAATATTTCAATATTAAAACGAAGTTTATAGTAGAGATAAATACTTATTCATGTGTATGTGGAAATAATTATAATTTAGCAAACCTGTTTAGAAGCCTTAAAAGATAAACAATATCAATATTGTAGTGCCCTTTTTAAGTCACTCAATAAAATATTAGTGTAGCATTGAGCAAAAGGTATCACAAAGTTTGCAGGATCAATTATCTATACTAATATAATAAAGAGGATAGATTAGTTTGTCTTTACTGAATAAACAGTAAAATAACTGGAAATTAATAAAAAAAAATTTTTTTTTTAAATTTAACATATATGTAGTTATAATGTGCTGCTTTAGTCTATAATTTTGGTTGTTTTGTTATGGGTGTTGAGTTTTTACTTTGGTTTTCTCTCATTGTCACAATGACATGCCCACTTGTTAAGTAGGCCGTTGCTTTGTTGTGATAAATTACCGTGGTTCTGTTTATTATTCAAAAAGTATTTTATTTCATAGAAAACCATTATTTTCAAATCAAATCAAATTCATTTATTCAGCCTAGAGGCTGTTTCAAGAAATCGTGAAAGTCTATGCCATCAATTTGAAAATCTGTAAAATGCATACAGACCAAGCAGCAGAATACCATACAACATCTGCGAGTTATCTGATTCTTCATATTGCATAGGCTGCAGAAATAAGTTTTCTGGCTAATAATGAAATGTGAGGATGCCATTGGAATTTAGAATTTAGTGTTACACCCCATGAAGATTGTTGAATCAACCAACTCGAGCTTTTCATCATTAAGTGTAATTTCTGTTGGTTCTGCTTTTACATTAGGTAAAAAAAACTTTATACATTTCGTTATTTTATCTGGAGATAAGCCGGTAATATTGATATAGGTCTGTGAGTAAATTTATTTTCTACATTGACCCAACCGGGTATCAAAATCAAGGGATGGCAAAACCTTGAAACATATTTGTATACCACTCAGACATATTTGTATAAATCATAATGTGTTTGTGTGTGTGCTGTAGGATTATGCAAGAGAGCCTCTCCAAACTGATCGACATGCTAGGCGAGCAGTCGGCAGCGGCGCAAGGGCTCAACAAAGTAATAACCACTGCTGAGAAGCTGCGGAACTCACCCACGCACATACTCTATCTACTGAAAGATCCTACAGCAAAGAAGTAAGTTCTCATTACTTTCTTATGTAAAAGATGACAGGCTATAATTTATGACAAACTGATATTTTTTAACCAACTCCAAAAAAGGAGATTATAAATTTGAGATGTATGTATGTAATTTTGTTGGACTAGTGCAATATTCATATATCTGTATGGGCTTCTAAACATGCATGTAAACTTTTATAGATGTATGTATGTTAGTCCATGGATATCTCGCAAACTAGTATTGGAATGAAGATATAAACTATTAAAATTTAGACTACTTATAAAAGGATTGAAAAATTAACAGACTTATAAAGGGCTTAAAATAATCACTTTCTGTTTACTTATATGTTATATGTATGCTTGTTAGTCTATATGTGTTACTGAACATTTGTTTTTACACTTTGTAGGTGTATAATATGTGTATGTGTCTAGTAATTAGGCATTGTATTTTTTTGTTCGACTAAATACTTTTCAACTTAGGGCATAACATAAGAGATAAATTACTATATGAATTTAGAAACGAACTGTTACCTGAATAGTAGGTTAGAATAAATAGTATTCTTTTTTGTAAGTAAGTTTTTTGGTTTGGTCATAATCTGACGTATTGTTCACTGTCAAGATCGGTGATGATTTTTCGTAAAGACAGATATTTTTCACCGCAAAATTTATTAGACTCTAATGTCACTACAATCTATACGCTTGAGTTTTTATAATACGATATATGCCTATTGTTATATTTTTTCATAGAGTAATAAACAGTACACATTGTATTATATTAAACGGTGGGGTTGGAATGTATTTTATTGGCAGTCATGTCCATGTTATTATTGCACAACCGCGGCAGGTGATGCGTGCCAGGCACCGCGCTCTCCTCACAAGATAATTGTGATTCGTTTAGATCGGTTTGCCTTATATTCGTAGATAATACAATACGTACGTGTCTAGTACATATGTTGCTCATGTTTCAAAACAGAATTTAATAGTTTACAAGACTAAATTATTGATAAAGTAGGATAGGTGCAATTCTGACGAAAAATGTAGTATGTTTTGTACGTAACGGAGTTTCCGTCGATTGGGCAAGGTGAAATGTCATATGTATACGTCAGTTCTAATTTATTCTTCTGTTTTATTTCATGGCTTGTCTGCGTTTACACAATTCCGCCAATGTCACGTTTGTGGTTTTTACACGTAAAGAAATTATCTATAACATAAGCGTCAGTCAAGTAGGAACTCAATTGGAGCAACTGTGTTTGTGACTTAACATTTGTGATAAGAAAATAAATTTGTTATTATTTATTTTAGATAGGCTTATCCGCATTCATAAAACTCGAGAACATTTTGCCTTTCTAATGTAATGCGAGAGAGCATCGCACGCTGGCGGCGCATCTTCCAAGCGGAACCGGCGATTTTTTGTTGTAATTCGATGCGACGATCTCATCGACTAACAGTTTTTAGCTTTTTTTTCAATGTCAACTTTATTATTACCACATTGCACACGAAATTGAACCACAAACTTAACGCTTAAAGATCATTTTCGTATCCTAATGTTAGTAAGGTTTGGGTAATACTTGGATTTTTTTACTTCAGGCTTTTTGTAAACTATCCTGTTATAAAAGCGTGTATTTTAAGTTTTTTTTTAAAACAGTGTACGTTATATTACTACGTCGATATAAAAGGAGACCATTCGATCTCTAAAACTAGAAATTTGATACATTATTCACTAATATTTTACTCACGTTTTGGATATCGCTTACAACAAGCCCAGTCTTATGTAAAGCAATATCCGTAACATCCTATTAATATTATAAAGGCGAAAGTTTGTAAGTATGGATGTATGGATGTTTGTTACTCTTTCACGAAAAAACTACTGGACGGATTTGGATAAAACTTTACAGCAATATAGGTTATACATCAGAATAACACATAGGGTACTTTTTACTGGGAAAACTTCTCACTCCCACGGGATACCGACTTCCACGCGGACGAAGTCGCGGGCGTCCACTAGTGAGTAATATATTAACCCAATATTTACAAAACGTACTATTAAACCTAGACCAAAATTTAGGAAAGCTAATAATTTGTTGCTGTTTAAAGCGTCTTTGTATAGTAGATTACATTCACGTTTTGGTTATACAACATAGTGATGTGTATTATGCCGTGCTCCGTAGTCACAAGGTGATATTGCTTGTGGGTCACGGTAACCTAGCTTGCATTTGCGGCATAGTTACCCACTATCAAATCTATGTTTGTTATGTAATAAACAACTACTCTGAAATATGTATTGGATGTGATGAGTGATCTTTAATTAATTCGCTTTTAACCGCATTAAAAAATAATCATGATTCTCATTAATTAATACCGGATTAAGATTTGTCCCCTCCCTCCTCCACTCTTTTCATTGGATGCCAGACAAGCCCCGGAAAATGTCTTCTGATATGCCCATGCCTGTCAATGAGATAATTAGCATTTAGCACAAAACGCCTATTCTCCGTCCCTGTAAAATCTCTATGTAATAATATTGATTTCTATATTTATAGAAAGGTTTGAAGTGAACAACCACTTGTCTTTTATTTTATGTTTCGACAAATATGCGCTAGCAAACAAAAAGATATTAATTTATTTTTATCTATAATATTGTAAGATATTTCTCTCGATTTCTAGCTAAAAACGATATATATAGCTAAAGTGGTACTTTATTATTATAAAGTATCACGAACATTACATAAAAAAAATCCTGAACGAATCGCTAAGTTCAACGGCTAGAAAATTTGCTATTACGGCCTTTCTCATAAACCTAATATTATGATAAACCACGAGAAAGCCCAATGTTCTAACGTGTTAAATTGAAGTTTTTTGTCATTTCGGACTTGAAACTTACTTATATAAATAAATATGTCTAGATAATATGATGTTTTTCTACAAAGTGGTTTGATGATTTATGGGATAAAGTACCAAAAAGACAATCTCCTTTCTAGAATACGGTTCATCGCTCTTGCGAAACCGGCTCAATAGAAAGAGTCTTATATTTTCCATATAGGTTGCAGAGGTTCGATTTGGGTGTTGTTTTGGATAAGTCTGTCGTTAACGTCCATAAATTCTTATTTAGCGTGAACGTCGACCGAGGCTTTACATTCCGGTGCATCAAGAAGGAAAAGTTTCGTGTTGCGCTCCGGTTGTTTAGGCGAAGGCGTCGAGACGGACCGTGAATCATAATCGACACAGCTACGCATCACTTAGGGATTGTTTCCACTTTGTGATTAGTGTTTTTGTTTAATAGTGAGTTTTGAGACTTCACACGACTGACATATGTTGCTTTTGAGTTTGCAAAAATTATGTTTTTGTGTGTGTGTCATGGAAGATAATTGTAAAAGAAATTCATGATGCAATATAATAGTGCAAATTCTGTTGTACCCCTCTCTAAACTGAAGAAAGTTTGCACTGAAGCACGTCGCCTAGACAAAAAAAAACATGTTGCAAATGACAAATTATTTTAATATTTACGTAATAATCGCATCTTAATAGTATTTTTTTGGTAATATTTAAATTACAGCGATATATTTAGTTAAAACGTCACTGGCGTCAGGCTTTTGTACATTTTCTACAATACTGTAACGTAGCGAGCCCCCACTCCTCGTCTTTAATGCCTATTATCTAAGCTATTTGTTTTTAAATTGAAATAAAAAAATACGTATCTAAATTTCTCTATTGTTTGACTGACGGACTAAATAGATTTTTTTTTACCCAGACGTCGTTTCTATTGGTCAGGTGTGGTACGCACAGATAATTTGTTAGAGGTCGACCTTTTCTACCCACAGACATACTTTTCTATCATCGTAATCGCTTTAAACACGCCCTACTTTTCTATGGTATTCCTCTTGCTTTCCATCTAACATTCAGCATTCAGTTATGCTTCTTCTAAACGGCCACGTGTTTGACGTCGATAAACCCTTAATTGCATTTTGAATTAGTTATTTGATTGAACGTCTCTGCGTATCATTACAGTTCTGTGCTTGATGTGTACATTCTTTTCCAGGTCTGGTATCGGTGCCAGTTTTAAAAGTTTTTCTCGTGTCCTAATTGTTAACTCTTTATCTATATTCCTGATTCTATTCGGCAATTTTAACATTATCTTCGTCGCATTCGTAGATCACCTTTCATTCGTCTCCTTCTTGGTCCAAATATTGTTGTATTATGTTCATTGCACCACGACGCGCGTGATTGGATTCATATGAAACATAATATAAAGTAACTTGTCATGTCGTTTTAAACTAATCCTCACGTGTACAATTGGCTATAACAAGGATGACAACAAAATTTTTTTGTTTGTCCGTCAGGTCGATTGTTGGAAAATATTAATCACGTATTTTTTTTGCGAAATTATTAAATTTCATTCTCATTTCGTTGATAAATAAATCGACTGATCCAAATGAGCCGTAGAAAATCGCATGTTAACTTAATTCGCCATTATAAATGAGCTGTTAGAATGGAGTGAGCACCGTACTACAATCTCGTTTTAAAACCACAATATTGAATGTATCTTTGCAAATACATAAACACTTTCACGCCGATTTCATATGCAAAATAGTTGGCGTTCATTAGTAAGTATAGCGAATGAAATAAGTAAGCACAACAACTCTGAATGTAAAAAAAAATCAACACGTTTATGAATGAATAAATAATTAGATGCTATTTAAAATCGTTTGTATGTGGATAGTACGTGCAGGATTTGAATGTTATATAAAAATTATTTATTGTTTGTTTGTTAAATAATACTACTGACAGTGATCGAATGAAACTATTATATATAGAAGGTTGGGGAAAAAGTTTTTTTGCATTTTACACGAAAATTCAAATAACTTTATTTACATTTAACTAAAATATGGAGGTAACCAACTTTTTGCCAACTTGTAGGCAAGGGCATGGTCCCATTGCTATAGAAATTTTGGGGCTTCTGATAAAAAAACCGCGATAAGTGGTTATGGCAGTCTTCGTGTGCTGTTAACTTGACATTGCCTAAAGAATTCTGAAGAGACCGAAACAGGTGGAAATCTGAAGGTGCAAGAACTATACGGCGGATGCATTAACACCTCCTAGCTAAACTAAAATTTTTGCTGCGTGGCAAAGGATTTGTGAGGTCTTGCGTTATCATAATGAAAAACCACACTCCTTCTATTGATTAATTCTGACCGCTTTCTCTCAACTTCTTCCTTTAATCTCATCTCTCGTTCACGGTAGAGTTCAGAATCGATGGTCCTGCCTGACGGTAATGAATAATGCCCTTCCAATTCCATCATACACACAGCATCACCTTGTTGTGAGTCAACCCTTGCTTCGCCACAGTCTGTCTGACCGACTTTCGCACGTTCTTGTCATACGTGATCCACTTTTCTTCACCAGTTATCAGCTTCTTCATAATAGTTCAGTTTCATTACGCCGTAATAAAGAATCATAAATTATTTATTACGGCGTTCATTTCATTAGGTTTCTTTCAGTGAGTTCGTGAGATATACCAAATATCCAACTTTTTTGTGTACCCACCTTTTTTTTAATACGCCAAAAGTGTTAAATCTCTAGATCTTCGGCTACGTCGTAACAACTGACATGCTGATCATGTTCCACTTTTTTTTATCCGTAACAAGGATCTGTGACATCAAAATTTCCAGACTGAAAACGTTTAAACCAAATTTGTGCTACTGTCACAGAAACTGTACTAGGTCCATAAACGTCTATAATTTTATTCGCGGCTTGCGTTGCATTTTTACATTTTTCGACTCGAATTTCTTTACTAATTCACTCATTTTTAACATTAAGATTTTAACGTTAAGAAAAACCCATGAATGTTAGGTTTTGTCAGGTTAATTTTCTTTTTCTAATGTTAATTAACGTTTCTAAATTGTCACAAATGGCCAGCCAGAAAAATTTATTACAAGTTTATGCATACTATATGCGAAAATACTTTTCCCCCAATCTAATAAACAGATAAATGTGATTTTTAGCTTTATTTTTTAGTTAATAATTTATGAGCTCATATAATTTATTATTGCTATATCTTCTGCACCCTCTTATGTTCCGTTTAGTTATCCCTCTCGAACTTTCGTTTTTACTCCGGTTTAATACTTATTACAGACTTAAGAAATAAACAATACGCGAATGGCCTTGGTACCTATTGCCGATTCAAATATTAATTTGTAATATTTATTCATAATGCAATGTATTATTTTGAATCGAGGTCGCGTTCCATCCTTGTATTCTTTTTATCAGTATAAACTATAATAAGTAACGATGTTAGTTTATACCTCGGTCTTGGTTTGAATTTGTGGCTGTGTGAGTGTGACAGACAGTCAACAGCTTGAATTTGTTGTAGCTCATTCATAATAGTGCACAGCACACCGTGCATGTTGCGGATGATTTCTCTGACTCATTTCCATTGGTCAATTATTGATGTACCGACCACCTAAAGAGACATCATCTTTGATATAGTTTGAGGCCCTAAGAAAGACATAGGCTAACTATTTTTTTTTGATAAAATAAATAGGACATTAGACATCGCACTCCATATTCCAAAATAAGTAGCTAAATTATGAAGTATCTGAAATAACGAAGGTAACACAATACTCGGATTCGAGACAACCATTCCGCTATTTTTAACAATAATATACTCTGGATTAGAAGCTTATATAGTACTGTTTGACTTCAACAGGGGTAAGGGTGAAGTGATAGGTCTACTGAAGGTCGGCCGCAAGCATTTGTTCCTGTTCGACTCGCAGGACAAGGTGTGCGAGGTGGAGCCTCTCTGTGTTCTAGACTTCTTCGTGCTGAGCGACCGCCAGCGGCACGGGTACGGACGCCTGCTCTTCGATCACATGCTGCAGGTATACCATCGCACATTATACTGCAATCAGATTTTTAACAAATGCGTTGGATTTCGGGATTCGCATAAAGAGTTGGTCGAATTGCCTAGCTAGAGATTTTTTTATTCAATTTAAGGATGGCGGCTCGATACCCGTCTAAGTTTAATCACTACAGCATTTGCTGTGATAGCGCTGTGTTTTGAACAGTTTAATTTTATAGTACAAGATCTTCCGTAGTAGATTTGGTAACAGATGGCAAAGATTATCGACTTTCGCGAGTGCTCGGAACGGCTTGGAATGAATAAATAATTTTTAAACATCTTGTCAAAAAGAAATAAATTCCAGGATATGGAGACTAGTGCTCAGAAGTTGGCGATAGACGGTCCTTCGCCGAAGATGGAGCAGTTCCTGTCCAAGAACTACGGTTTGGAGAAGTTGGTGCGACAGAGCAACAACTTTGCCGTCTCACCCAGCTTCTTCAACAAGACAGGAGAAATAAGGTACGCACTTATAATATTAAGATGAAGTTTTAAGACGCACATCGCAAATGAAGGTTACAAAAGAAAAGGAGTAGGAGTCATTAGGCAAATCAGCTCGAAATAAAATATTATAAAACATAATTATTTAGTAATTAGTTTCTATGATGACTAATATGAAATAATCCAATTTCAGTTGCCCAGCTAGAAAGAGCAAAGCACATTTTTGATTATACAACTGATTTTCTAAAAATATATAATTACATGAAGTAATTATGTATCGGTGATACAACTATTCAGAGGCAACTTTGTAGTTGTTTGTTTGGTCAATAAAATTATATAACTTCAGATTAGCTCCACGCTTTTTTTAGAGGACATCGCGTCTGAAAACGATATATTAGATTTAGATTTTTTATCTAAAGCCTCACGTTTGATGTGTATTGTAACTTGATTTTTGATTTTAGTAGATGTATTAATAAATTGTGATACTATCTGATGGTGATGTGTTTTAACCAGTAAATGTCCACGACAGATCCTGGATAAGAACAAGGGATGTTTTGAGTTAATGCCATGGAGGTGATTTGTTTTTATATTGTAGTTTTATTTGTATCATTAGTTCGTTTTTTTTTTAAAAGACAATAGGGATGAAGGAAAAAATCTATTTAGTCCGTAAGTCAGACAATAGAGAAATATTAGATACGTATTTTTTTACTTCAATTAAACAAGAAATAACTTACATAATAGACATTAAAGTTGAGGAGTGGGGGCTCGCTACGTCATAGTTTTGTAGAAAAACTACAAAAGCGTTACGTCATGTGACATTTAACCTCAATGTGTCAACGTAATTTAAGTAAACTGAATATGAGTAACTTTAAATAGCTTTTGTACAAAGAAATAACGACCAAATTAGCTATAATAAAATATATTAAAACTACATTATATTTGTAATGGGTCTATAACCACCAAAACATGAATTTATAAAATTTTCTCAATAGAAAAAAATCACAAAGTAACTTTTAACTTTTGTATTTTTCTTTTCACCATAAATTTTTTACCACTATTAATTCGCCTTTTTCTCGATATTTTATAATTTTTTATGGGGAAAATTAATAAATATGTGAGTCACTTTGTAGCCGAGGCGAATCTGAAAATATTTTGCAGTAATTAAATAAAAAACGTTCTGGCACTTATCAACTTTTCATTCTGCTCAATATATCGCACGTTGAGAACGATAGTGACACAATGCAAAAAATGCGATTTTGAGTAATGAGTGTTTAAAGTTCAAGAAATTGTAATAGCTCCTCAAAACAACGTATCGTCACTACGCCACCTAGCAGTTTCTATACAAACTACGTTCACAGGCATCTTTGCATTTTAAAGTTTATACTTAACAAAAAAAAAATGTTTTTGGTTAGTGACATTGTCATTCTCAACGTGCGATATACATTGTTTATCTCATACACAGGCTGCTTGAGCAAACCTGTCCACGGTAGGCCTGGGGAGGGATTTGTTTGCTATTGGTTTTCTCCAATTTCCACGTATGAATGCATTCTTTGGCACTATTTGTTTATGTGCTATCCCTTGTGCACTTATCGTCGAGTGTTATACCAAAAATGTGACTCCATCTGCCTCTTTGATATACTGACCCTCTACTACGTCTTTTTTACTAACATTTTTGTTAATGAATTCGATGCCTTTAATTTCCTGTAAATTTACAGTTAGGTTAATATGTTTTAGCCAATTTATAATAAGTTCTATAGTTGTGTTTATCTCTTGGTTGTAGTCATCTTAATTAAAACATGGAACAACAATCGTAAATTAAAAAAGTAGAAGCTCCAGTTTACTAATAAAATTGTATCTTTCTGCTAGAATTCAAAAAGTTGTAATTAATGAAGCTAAATATACAAGGGCCCCCATCACTATACGGGTGCCTTAGGGATCAATGTTAGGACCATTGCTTTTTCTAATATACATTAATGATCTTTCATACTTTATGGAGAATTCGTACTAGACAATTTTTGGCGGATGACACCTATTTAATGTTTATATGTATATATGCTAAGAGGGGCAATAATTGTTTTTACAATGTTAATAGTGCTCTGTCCAATGTTCTATATTGGTTTGATAATAATAATATGAAGTTCAATCCAAATAAAACAAAATGCATAAAATTTACATTTGGTACTTAGGTACCTTAAGTTTCCTTGGTATTACGCTAGATTCCCGAATACGATGGAATGCTCAAATTTTAATATCTTGTGAAGTAGACTGCAGTATTTGCCATTAAGAAAATCAGACTTCACAGATGTTGAATCGGCAAGATAGTATATTTTAGTTATTTTCATAGAGTATGACCTATTGTTATGAGATTCTGCTGCTATTATCTAATATAGGAGTACTTTAATCTTACAAAAGAGAGCTGCCAGGCTTTATAAATTCGTAATCTAGAGAACTTCTTAGGATTTAGAGAAATCAATATTTATCTGTTGCCTATTAATATATATATATGTACGCAAGAAAACTATCGTTCATAATTTTACCACAAAAAATAAGCTTTCCATTCCAAGCTTCAAACTTCAAAAGACGAGAGGATAAATTCTGGGTAAATGCATTGGCTAAGTTCAATAAGAGTAACAGAAAATGTAATTAACCTACCTGTAAATAAATTTAAAAAAAAAATAAGTAAATAATATACTTATGTATGAGTAAAGGCATTGATGATTATTTTAAAGGTTGATATCTGATTTTTTTCTGGGTATCGGCACACTCTTAATGATCACGCAAAAAACAAAAAAATACGCATTCAATATTTTTCAATAACCAGACGGACAAATAAAAAATAAAATAATCGTCTTTCCTGTTGAAAAATGTTTTTGATGTAGAACAAAATTATTCATTTATGTTCTAAAAAATTTGTTTTCTTTGTTGTACACCTCGTTTCAATACGAATACGTTCTAAAAATGGGGATCTGAGTACTGGTTACTCATTGAAATTTGTTTGAAATATAATTAAAAAAAAAATGATTTATATGTCTTTAATCTTACTTAAATATATCTAAATGCTCGGTAGCCCATTTAGTACATTTACCCGACACGAAAGTAAACCCTGCGCTGAACTGAATATTTCAAAGAAAACCGGCTCAGAAAAAGTGAACGTTAAAATTTTTATAAGAGGTGATAAATATATATTAGAGGCACTCGTTTTAAAATCGGGTGGTTAAGATTTAATAACCTACATAAAACTACAGCGTTTGGGTAAACATTCATGCCGTCATTAATTCTACTATTATAACAACATTAACACTTACTAGTTGAAAAGAAAATACATTTTGTAATTATTTATCATTCATCTGTGTTGATGAAATCATACTTTATTTTATAATAATTAATTCTCCATTAATAGTTGACAATATATTTTTTAATATATTTATATATTCTAACATTCATATTAATTTGCCATTTCATTTAACCCACTTACAGTAAGTCGGGGCGAACCACCCCCGTGCTTACGCCAGCGGTCGGCAGGTTCGCAGCACCAAAACCACCTTCTGCCATTGCTAACGTGAGTATAACTATAAACTATACATTCATATTATTAATGAAAAATGTTTAAAAAATCCATTGGGTCCCTGGCACCCCGAGATGGGATTCGAACCCGTGACCTTTTGCTATCTGGCCGACTGCTCTAACCACTGAGCTACCCAGGATCTCACAGGGCTGACGAATCTTTTAAGAACTTGTTACTTTTTCACTACTACAGAGCACATTCTTATCAACGTTCGGGCAATCCGACCAAACAGCCGAAAGAAATATTAATTTTAAACATTTTTCATCAAGAATATTTTACAGTATAGCATTGTGAATGAAAAATTAATCAAATATACATTCATATTCTAATATTACATATATTCTAATCTAATTACACTACATTCTGAATGAGATATGAGCAAAATTTAATCAGTACATAAAGACAGAACTCGATCTAATTTAGATAAAACTGTTTAGGGTAAAAATAATATCTAACATCTATCATCATTTAATTCATGAGCTTACTATTTATGGATGGGACGTGAAATAAATATGTAACATACCACATCATATTTAAAAGTGTTTTTTTTTGTACACAAAATTTGTAAATGATAGGAAAATCGAGGACTCTTGTCTTATTGCTCGACTTGCCTCTCTTTAGATCGGGATCTGCATAAAGGTTACTTAGTTATAATAATGAAAAATCAGGATCAACGATCAGGAAATGTAAGCCTGATCAGTAATTACATTTAGTAACTTTCATTGAAGCTTTCTTGTTGTAATTGCATTATTATTATTATTAATTTAATAATGATTTTGTACAAACAACCATTAAGGTTTAATGACTATAATTAGTAAGGGTAATGTCGCTCCAAACTATTGACAATTTTAATGGAAGTTTCTGCAATTGGCTGTAAGAAACTAATAAAAACAACACCAGTTAAATTAAGTTTTTGAAAAGTTTCAAGTAGTGAAGATTTTAAAATGTGCCATCACAAATGATCATACAATGTCTTATCGATGACTCTCGATTTATTTTTGCTTTGGATCTCCTATATAAATTATAATCAAATAGCGCTACTAGCGGCTTTTTCCTTTTAGGATTATATTCACAATAAATTTTGAAGTCTATGGATTAAAGTTGATTTATGGATTTTACACCATATTTTCTATTCCTGGTACTCTTGCTCGTGCCTTTAATTATTTGAATCATATTTCAGGTAATACATGGTGGCGGCGGCGGATATTACGAGTCTAACAATGGGTGCGTATTTAGTTCAGTTGTAAGAAAATAAACATTATATAATTTCAGTTGATTTTTAAATGGCACATTGCATATTGGGGAGTTTTTATCAAAATAAATATGTTGATTTTTAATATCAACAAGAAAATTATGTTTAGTTCATGATCAAAGATTTAAATCAGGCATCCTTTGATATCGCTGTGTAAAAACTATAATACTAAATATATTATCTTACAAATACGTGAAATAACTCGATTTTCGGGTATTCGACCTGCACCTGGCAGCACCGTAATCAACTTAAAATGTTAACCATAAAGACTACTATTTACGTAACCTTTCTTTAAAATTTCAATGTTTTTTCACTTTCTTTTTCCTGTACTCACGCTTCCCAAGTGTGGTGTTGCCATGTTTTTGTTCCTTTTATTTTTCTTATACATCAACGTTGCTTCAGTGTAGTCATCTTGAATGTACAAATCGCTTTTTATACGGCAGTCGAAGATAGTCGTTTACAGAATTTATATATCTTATAAATTAAATAATTGCGATCATTTAAAAAATAATAAAACTGAAAGTAAAGCTTTCATAGAGGTATTCTCATAGATAAAGCAGGAAGATACCAGCTGGTATTCGGTAAGAAAGAGACAGAATATCTATTGTTCTCCACTTTAGCGTGCGTAATTAGTGAAGAAAAGAAGCGTAATAAAACTACGATTTCTTTATCGCTTTCGGGCACATTCGTCTGTGGAGGGAGACATGATATATAGCGATCCTCTCTCTCTCCTCTCTGTCTGTCTCTCTCTCTCTCTCTCCTCTCTGTCTGCCTCTCTCTCTCTCTTTCTCTCTCTCTCTCTCTCTGTCTGTCTCTCTCTCGTTAAAACCGAACGACATTTTCGCTTACAGGTAGCCGTGTGTCATCCTTAATTTGATTTAATCTTTAATATCTTTATATTCAACATGACAGTTTCATTAGTTTCGTTTGTGATAGATGGCATTGGGTCGGATCGGCTTTGCTCGCAACGCGCGGTCGCTTGCGGGTTCGGTGAGCTCTGGTTTAAAGCTTAAGGTTTAATTTCCCCTGCGTTAAAAAAATGTGTTTTATTTCTCTTTCTTAAACATATTAGAAAGTATTATATTACATATTATAAAAAATCTGCGTTCAGTCGAATGTGCGCTTTATTTTCATTGCGATAAGTTCGACACTACGATACCTTCGATTGCCGTATTATTTTCGCTTTCATTGAATTTAGAATGGTTTCCAAAAATTTCCATTCTTTGATTATTATATTTTGTTTTTTTTTTTATTTTATTTACTTTATATGTTTCCATTGCTTTCTTTTCAGTTATTCACGATTAGGTCACGCCATGAACTCGTACTGATGGTCCGCACGCACGCTACGTTTATTACTTATTTTTTTTAAAATTGGATATTATATTTATTTTAGTTGAAGGGCGGGGCCGGGACTATAAAAAATGAAACATCTTTAATGATATATAGTATAACTGATTTATATGAATGTTTTCACTTTACTGACTCGATTTTATGGTTCATTTTTACCATTAATTATGTGAATGATGTCGTGGACTGGTATTGTTTTTGTTTTCTAATATTTATAAGCGGCATCTGATCTCTAATAGTGTAATGCAGGTAATTTTTATTAATTTAATGTGCATGTTTAATTTTGTCGTATCATTTAGTCGAATCAGTGCTTCAGCCTTCGTCATTCACTTAACTTTAATTTCTTATTTTGTGATCGGTTTAGAGGAGTTCGATATCGAAGTAGTTAGCGCGTCTGCTATTGTAGGAGTTAGAAAGAAGGATGGGTGACCAAAAATTTATTATCTATATTCGTTAAGACTCACCAAAGTGACCCTGTCTCTCAGCAGTGGGGGCGTAGGCTGAGATGACGATGTACTATATACAATATATGTTTTCGATATTCTAATAAAGTTAAGTTAAACTTTGCCTACAACCGATTAGGGTCCAAATAGGAACAAACGTCTACTTAAATACTATTTATATCTTAACGAACGTGCATAAGGTTAAGATAAGAATACTTTCAATCATGTAAGTACTGATTGTTGAAATGTAAACACATATCTGAACGCACATTACTTTTTTTTTCAAAAGCACATCTGTCATTATGTAACTTTATTAAATAGTTTTCATACCAAGAAAAAATCAAACTAATGCGTTAAATAAGTTCTTGCTCAAAGATAGACATTTTCAAGTTGATAACATGTTTATTACATATTTCATCTTAATCTTTAGCGTGTTTGTTAAAAATAATGTTACGTAACAACTGTTATAACGGTTAAACGTGTTATTCGATATATATTTTGACGTCACAACGTTGGATTGAGTTAAAACAAAATATTTGAAACTCGTCTCGTGTAACTCAGCTATTACATTGTATTTAGTTTTTGTGTTTTATATTTATGTATTGTCAATATGTATACTATGTATTTTTAATTCGAGTCAGTATTTAATATGATATTTACAACTGCCATTATAGAACGATCTTACATACTTTTTTTTATTCAAAAAACTGGGTTGCCATCTATCGGATCATGGTGTTACCCTGCATACTCATCAAAATACAGCTTATAAAACAACGACAGACCAGTAACCCTGCGATGGTGCTTGACGTTCATAAATCTGGACCTGAAAAGCATTAGGTCGGATGTGCAGAACCAGCTAAAATCACTTATCGCCATAACGTTGCTACACTCTTTTTTCTCTTTCCGGCAAATTAACTCTTGTATGTTTGTGCCTTTTTACTCATGAGCAACAGTCATGCATAAAGTCGGATCACACGACTTTTTCAAATATTTTGATTGCATTTAGCTATTTCTGTTTTTATACAGTTTTTATACATCCGACCTAATGCTTTTCAGGTCCAGAAATCCGTCGTCCATCTCCCGAGTCGCGTTAATAATTAGTCTTTTTGTTCGGTTTTCACAGTTGTAAATGTCATACAAAAAAAAAAATGCAGTTTAGTTACTTTTTATCAGCGAGTTGTATAGATACATCGGTTATTTTGAAACAGAATAAAAAATGTGATGAGAAAAAAATTTACGTTCTACCAAAGAAATAAAAACTGAACCCTGTTACCGGTGAAATTAATAAAAATATACATAATTATTTAAAATATATTCGATTGTTTATTTAAATATATAGTGATAGGCGGTACTTATTTACGATTTAAAAATAAAATAAAAGTATATTATTCAGTTTTTATTTCTAAAAAGTGAACAATATAAATTTGATGTGATTATTCCGTCCTATAAAATGATTCTATTTATATAAAAAAAATATTTGTAATATGGTTTCAAAATCATTTTCATTTAATTCTTATCATTCAAACAACCATCCATTATTAAAATTTGCTGTTCGTTCACATATCATTGTTTCAACTATTTTAAAAGTTTTAACATTATCGTTCATTGGTTTTGTTATAATTATAAATGGGTAATTAATGTAAGGTAACCACTAACAATTTCTGCATTTATTATACAGTAAGACATTATAACGGTTATAACGTTTAAATGTGCCGCTGTACTAAATCCCTGTTGATGTGTTGCTGTTTTGTAATTAATGTATTTAATTATTTAATGTGCCTTTTTTTCGGGGTAGCTGTCGTTAGTTTTTTCTAATAAATCAAAATCATCCTTATTAACAGTGAAATAGTGGAACGGAACGGTTGTTTTAATTTTTTTTTAGTTCAATAATTAACTTCTTGTATTTTTGCACTTAATTTTATGTACACAATTACTTATTACACTATGTACAATCGTGGCACATATTTAAGAAGTAGCTTAATAATTATTTTCTGTTACATTTTATTTTAGATTTAATTTGTTCACAATTATTTTTCTGACAGTAGTTTGTTTATGGACTCTTGATGGATATTCGTTTCTTGACAGATTTGACTCCTATAATATATCGAATAAATATTATCAGTAAAGGCTTTGCTCTTGTTTTGTATGGGAATGTGTACTATTTATTGATTGCCCTGTTCTTTATAGTGAAAGGCAATGTTTCGTATGTTATGGTGGACAAGTGATTGTTCTAAACTTTTTTCTGTTAGGTTAATCAAAAAAGAGCTCTATTACAAAATACATAGAAAGTAATAATTATGTAGAATACATACTCTTGTCGATGAAAGAATACAATAAAACTATGCGAATAAACAATGACAACATATTGTACTAATTAATTATGAAGTTTGTGAAATAGGCGTCTCTGTATGTATGTTTATTAGTGTGGGTAAATGTTTGATTTATTAAGCCAAATAGCCTTTTTGTTTAAAAAAAGATGTTTTGGATGATTATCAGTTCCGCATAAAAGTGATAAGAGCATGTCAACGTTGCGATATTTCACCTCCCTTTTTTACTTATTATAATTATACTGCTACAGGAATTAATACAAAGTTCAATTCTAGTTTGCAATCAAAACCGCCAGCGCGGTCACTTCTATGAGATTTAAGTGTTACAGAACGGCGAGAGTAAAAACTGCGCGGTGAAATATCGCAATGCGGATAATAAACTGAGCATTCATAGACAATACGAAATATTGTAATTACACAGTTTTATTTTTATTTGTCGTTCCTTTCAGAACAGGCTAAGATCATAGACCATACTGCCTCGTCATTTGTTAAGTAATTACACAGTAAAATATCAAAGCAAAGGAGGCGTAATAGTTGTGGTGTTTAATGGGAAGTCAATAATGAAGCAAAAACTAATTATTTGAGTTTGTAATATTACCTTATGGTAGCATATAAAGCACGTCACTTCCTATTGATGCTGCTCTTCCTCTATGAATCGAAATTAAGTTTATAATCGAACAAATAAATCTGAAACGAAAATCTTGACTAGAACCATTTGGCAACGCGTCAGTTTATAAAAAAGGGTATCAAAATTTTCGAAAACTTGCAAAAGACGAAAAGCGCGGTAAGACACGATAAGCTGACGCGCGGCCATGTTTATTTTGATCATGAAGTAGATAATTATTTTGACTACTTGAATGGAGATTTGAAAGTTGTATAAATTTATTAATGCACTGTGATAATTTTATTTTGTTTGTTTTAGTGGTTAGTTTTATTTTTAATTTATAATATTGTTTACATATTTTTTTCTTTCTAATTTTAGACTCTCACACAGTTATAATAAGGTTTAAATTTAAGTTTTTACACGCATGTCTTTTCACGTTTAGTATTCAATAAATTAAACACAGCGACGAAGTATATTTACTGTTGTGATTTGATTATTTATATTGTTTTTTTTAATATGATATAGGTTGTAAATTAGCAAATATTTCTTTCTTAATTAGCTATACACAATTCAGGCAACTGTACACTTTTAATCAGATATTAAAAGCGTTGTTTTTAATGTGACACAACGTTGCACGCGTTTATAGTGTCACGTCGCTTTGTTATTTTGTAAACTTTTATATTTTGACAGAAAAAGACAAAATATGCTTTTAGTTAGTTTCAGTGTTTTCTTTTCTTAATGTTATTAATGTAAAATCGGAGAACGATGTTAATATAATAGCTTTAGTTTAGATATAACATTTTCAAAATTGTTGGGTTTTGTTTTTGGCATTTATCTTGTGGTAGTTCACATTTCTTCCGATGTTTAGGAGGGTTTCGGGAAGGGCGACGCCCGACGCTGATGTCACGCTAACTGAGAAACGATCGTCAGAGAATCACTGCCTGCAGAAGCAGACAGAGAAGCCGGCACAGAAGAACCCTACTCCAGATGCGATGTTGGAAGTGTCCATTCCAGAGTTGCAGAGGAAGTTGGAGAAGTTGGAAGTGGATGTTAGGCCGACGGAACGGCCTTCCAGTTTGAAAGTGGGACCCCCTCCCGCCGCGATTGCCACCCCCTCGCCCGCGGGCTCGGCCATCTCGCGCCGCGACTCGCAACTAACGGAGCGCGGCTTCTTCGACGTCAAATTCTACCATAACAAACTCTGGTAGATTGCTCAATGGGGTTGCCAGTTTTGTACTACTTTTATAATGTGAAGCTTCTTCTATCTGTCTGTATAAATTCCAGTATTTGCATTTTGCTGTTCGTGAACTTTGAAAACTGAATCATGTGTTGACTAAAATTTTTAGTGTCAGCTATAGCGAAGCGTAAAAGCCAGCCACGCTTTAGCTTGTTTAGCGATCGGAGAAAATTTAATCGCTTTATTTTCAAATTAACTTAAACACTTTTGGAAACTTCGCCCATAGCTTTCTTCGAATCAGAAAAATTGTTGAAAATAGATCAACAGCCTAAAATGAAGCTGCCAACTAAACTATATATTTTCCCAACTGGCAACCCTGAACGGACGGTGTAGAACATTAAACGTAGACGTCCTTTAGTTTGAAACATAATTGGGTTTTGAAACAAAACAAATAAACGTCGGCAGCTCGAACACGCTCACTTCAATTAGATTTTCGGAGGCCTATAATGTATCTCGGAAATCAACATTTCTTAATAGTATTGCAAGTCTAATTATATTTTACATTTAATATTTGTGCAATAGATGTAGTGTATAACACTGATATGCCAATAGTTCACAACGGTATGATTTTAAAGAACCTCTCGTACTCGTATGAAACTAGTCGATAGCTTCGGACATACAGAGTAGGCGGTTATTGGAAAATGTATAATTAGATTTATTACTTTTCTTTTTTCTTTACGTGGCTTTCTTTCATGTTTGCATATTACATATTAAACTGACAATTCTTATTTTATTTCTATTTACTTATAAAAATCAGTACTACGATAACACATTAAATTTTTAATTTACAATGAATATCCTATGTCGTCGCTTAGTATATTAGATTAACATCGATACTGCTATCTAAGCGACAATGATGATAGTACTCTATAAAGTAACAGAAAATGTCAGATGTCCAGTTTTCGTTTAATATATATTGTTATGTACAGTCTGTTAAGTTATAAATCTAATTACATTTTACTTATTTCTGGTATAGTAACATGCCTTACGCTGTGGTAACTAGAGGTTCCACGTTGCACAATGTAATTCTAAATAATCTTTCCATCACATACTTATTGAACTGGCTCAATGACTTTCTAATATACGTGACTTAATTTAAAGTTTGCCCGACTGATTCTAATGGCTTTCCATTCTGTATTACAGTTTATTTGTATCGATATTTAATTTAAAAGGTAACAAAAAAAAAATCTCATTTTGTCTCAAAAATATGGCGTCCTGGGGGTAATTTATGAAATTGCAAACCAATGTGCCGTATTTCAATCGTTGTTATTACAATATTTTTTTTCTATAATTTCATCATATTGGGCATGATATATCTGAAAGAGGTCCAAAAAAAATTTGAACAATATATTATAAATATATTATTTAAAAAAGCCGATTTTGTACACTATGTATTTTATATTTGAAAGTCATCGTGCTTGTGATAGGACAGCTTGCACAAGAAAATATTAAACTACGTTACACTTGTAATCTACAATATGTTTTTAACGGCCAAAATTATTAAGCCACTTTGGTAGTTTCGGTAACTTTTAGTAGTTTTCGATGATCATTTTAATGGCAATGTAGTCTGAACGGACTTTGAACATTCCTTCGTGTTGTTATTATTATTATGTATATTTGATTAAACGATGCTTCTACCGCCCAGTATTGCAGTAAAGAAGGTAATTTCGGTGGTACTTATTAATAAAACTTGTGGATAGTCAGGCGGAAAACTCTTATCCCGCCTACCAGTTGCGCACTTATTTGATCACTGAGTACTCACGCTGTGTCACGAGTAATTAATACTAGAAATGTGTTCGCTTATGTCCGGATTTCAATGTAGGGCCATAAAAAAAGTTACATTACCAATACAATTATAATTACAATAAAGTTCTGTAAAATATGTTTTATAAGCTTCTAACAGACGAAACAACAAATTAATTTAATCGCTTACCTTACCCTTAATTACTGAGCGGTTTCTTCCAGGCAGCTGAAGGTTATAATCTGCTATTACTATTGAGCGGCAGAAGCATTGGTCATCAATGATACTCATAAGATTTTGATTTGTGTGTTTATATGAATACATAGATGCGTTTTTTATTATCTGTTAGCATTTTTTGCTGCCAACACGTTCCATTTTAATGGGAGCTCAAGAATGCATGTAGTAGTATATGAAATGCACTTGCTTTTTTTTAACTGAATGTCAGATATACTTCCATGTTGTAAAGAATAATAGTCGTGTAGTGTTTTTTCTAAATAAAAAAAAGGAAATGCTGAAAAGGGAAAATTTAACAATGGTGAATGGAAACTCGTGTGGGAAAATTATTAATTTCTGAATGAGATATTTTTTAAATGATCTGTAATGTTTTTGGTATTATTTAGGTACCTGGTCTTATATTACTAAACTTATCTTTGATATTTACCGATAAATTCATAGACACCAATTGAATATAAAAAGTTGTGCTGTATCAAAATCTTTTATTTTTGGGTAAAAGCAGTTCAAAACTGTATATTAACTTTGACATAATTAAGAAATAATTTAGTATTTCTCAACGAAAAATTCTTAAAAATTCACCCGCCCATTTACTCCGAGTTGGGATAGATCTTGGGGATAAAAAAATATTTTATATATTCAACAAGTATACTTTGTGAAATTGTGAATTCAAAATTAATGAAATACGACTTTAGTATTTTGTTCTAGAAACGTATTCTTATATTTTTTAAACGATTACAGCAGATTGAGGGACTGTATGCATTATTTTGTCGCACCATTTTTTCCCATTGCGTTCATTTGTAGTATTTTATAATGATTTACCGTGAACAGCGTATCGGAGTTGCTGAGTATTTTAAGAGATTAGTTTGCAATAAAAAGAGATAATGATGGACACCCACAGAAATAGTCCCTGAATCTTTTTTTTATTACAAGGTATTCGAGATTATTTGCATTATAACACCTTTCTATTATAATAACAAACCAAATATGTATTTACTTGCTAATTATTATAATAATTATGTTGATTAATTGTTATTACTTTGTTTGTGGCTATTGTGTATTTTAGTACGAATATATCGTTTGTTTGGTATTCGCAATATTCTTGAATGAGTAGATCGCATATCTGTCAGAATAGAGCGAATGAATATACAAACCTATGAACCAACACTTGTGCGTTCCGCATCGTTAGAATTCTAACGTCACGTGTCATCAATTTGCAAGATTATAAGGAAATTGTTTTAGTCCGTCTACTTCGGTTCTGATGGATATGCGATGACTAATAAACGAAAGCTTGTATCAAATATTAGTTAAAATATACACTTTATTGTGAAATACTCGCGTCTCGAATCAAAGAGTAGCTTATTAAAATTGATCTTTTAGCTTTATTTTTTAATATATTGAAGGCAAATCCTTCTATTAATATTTTACAGCGTATAATTATCAATTGACAGGATTGACCGATCTGACATATCTATAAGCGGAGCATTTTTCCAACTACCAACATTACCAAAGCATTTATCGTCTTTGTTGAAGTTTAAGTAAGACCTACAATTGACGCACTACCATTGTCCGGTCTACTCTTGGAGACGTTTCAGGATTTTTGTGTTGTGTTGAATTAATTAATGAATTTATTTCTATGTTATATAAAGATGAAAACTTATATTTAATTTACTGCCATTATGCAGTCACAAATTAAAGAATATATGTAGTAGAATTTTATGCAATGGTAATGGCAATTGGTAGAAAGTTCTTGTTGATGAGTTGTGTGGTCAGACTTAATATTGCTGAGTGTATGGTTGGATTAAATTAATAATTTGCAAACTGAGGGCGAAAATCTATACTAGGTACCTAAGTGTAACGGAAAAAATAACAATCAAACATTTTGTATTATGTATATTTGTAGAGGTGCTTTGTATGAAATCCATTTATCTCACTATTTATCAGTCGCAGGTCGGAACTATGTTGAAGTTTGATACTTTGTTAGAGTGACACGGATAACCCTCGTCTCTTAATTTGTTGGTTATCTGTGTTGTGTTCGTTTTGTTCCGATCACAGTGTCTGTTGGCGATGCAACGTTAATATTGTTTATATTTACAGGTCGCCTTTGGTTTATATTATCCGTGTGGTTAATTTGCGTTACGTATGTTGAGGTATTATATGAATAAATTGCTATGTAATCGAATGGGCGTTTTATTTAATTTTTATTATTGACAATCTTAAGAACTGTTGTATTTAATGCCAAGCGATTTTTCTAGAATTTATTTTGTCTCTGCTTAGCGACTACAGAATATGCGATATGTTATAGTTTGTTTCATCATCATAATAATAAGATTATAAGATAATTATAAATAAATAGGCAAAATGTATTTCAATAAATGATAACATTTATTAGAAACTGATTACATGTTGCATCGTGGACTTTAACCGTTTATACACGTTTTTATAAGCATAGCTTGATCCGATTTTTGCGAGTTATCTTTACATGTTGCGATATTTTATTTACTTAGCGATCGAGACTATAAATTATGTGGATTATGTTACCTTCATTGTTTCAGATTTCAATAATAAGTGGGATCTGAGTGATGCATGTGACATTGTCTACTATTTATTCACTAACTTCTGCGAAACGAGACAAACATTTTGTCGACCACCGTAGCCGAGTGGTTCGCACGCTAGTTTCAAGGTGTCGCTATCTCTGAGGTCCCGGGTTCGATTCCGGTTGGGTCAATGTAGAAAATTAACTTTTCTATATTGTCTCGGGTCTGGGTGTTGTGGTGCCTTCATTGTCTCCGATACTCCACAATACTGAGGCTTGAGCTACTCATTTTGGAATCTGAGCAATGTATGTGATGTTGTTGAATCCGGTTAATATTATAAATGTGAAAAATGTTCGGATGTTTGCCCTTCAATCACGTCGAAACTACTGAGCGGATTTTGATGAAATTTGGTGTACAGATAGGGTATTAGCTGACTTAGATTTGAACTTTTTATCCCACTAAACATTTCCCACGAAAGCTAGTATTTAATATGAATAGCACTCGCAGAGTGCTCATGGAATGTGTGACTTGTAAAAATATAAAATATTTTTTTCTTAAGTAGCAAAGCAACGCGAAGTTTTAGAATACTTTTAAAAAAAACCTGGTTTATAATTAAATCAAATTGGTTTACTTTTTAGCTTAGCGACCTGTTTTTGGTTTACTGAAGTAATTTATTATGTATATTAATGGATAAAAAGGAGCTGCTCTATATTTATTATTTCTACTAACTGTACTGTTGCTATAAAAATAGTTACGTAAATGTTTAAAAATAAGAATCTTAATAATTCTTAATATTTTCATTTTGAGACAAGTCGCCACAGACTGTTTGGTGAAGGCCCTATTTTATATTTTCTACTAGCAGTTTCGTAATGTACGAGTATTGTTAATGTATCGTCATAAGACGCATTGTATTTCTTAATAGATAGTAGAAAACACCCAAAAATATTTGCTGAGCGTATATACTATCATTAATCTATATCTATATGTCGCAGCGAATTGTTGGAAAAAAAGCCGTCGTATTGGCCGGCTAGCCATTTAATCTCTTTTTGTATTTGTTGTCAGAAGGTTCTTACGGAAGAATAAAAAAAAATGGAGTGGAATTTAAAAATTAATGAACCACCACATAAAATTATTTCTAATCTAACCTTAGTGCTTTGGATAATAGCAACTTTTTTAATGTAACCTTATGACGTTTGATATAGAATTTGTGGTTGACGCAAAGTAGCAATTAAAGTTAAGAAGAAGAAGAGTGGATCGCCATCTTTCATCTATTTTATATGTAGAAATTAATTTACTCGTTTGAAATTGGCAAAATGGTGCGAAATTCATAGATAAGCCATTCATAGAAAAAATATATATTGTCAAATGGGATGTAAAAAAACTGTTCGAATTCAATATTTCTAATTAAGTGGTCTGTTGGGTCAGTTAGTCTGCTACAACAAGAAAACAGAGTATTTAATGTAGTCCAGTCAATAGCCGGTTTCCAGGATAATTTTACTAAATACAAAGGATTTCAATAATAATAATAATAAAAAAACAAGAAAAGGAATAAATTACGTGAGACATCTCAGTAACCACTATAGTACATTACGATATAAGTGCGTTATGATGGTTATAACATGCGAGGCGGAATTTCAGTCTGAGCCGAAGGCGAGGGCTCAATTG